CTGAGGTAAATCCCTGTCCCTAAATGTCTATAGTCTAAGATTCTATAATTACAAAGCTCTCTGGTCTTGCTGACATTGTTTCTAAACAATCGAATTACGGTGACCAACCATCTTGGTTGGCCTGAGACTGCTTTCAGAGGTAAAGCCTTGAAGATTTGATCACTCTACCTCCACGTTCCCTATCTAAAAAAGGTTTAAATTATAAAGTCCTAAGGGTCTATGTGCATTATTAGAGTTCAGGTTTCTGTGCTTGCTTCGGCAGCACATATACTAAAGTTCAGGTTTCTAAGGATTTAAGATCCTCGCCAGGGATGTAGCTCAGTGGCCCTGAGCCTACTTGGCGAAGGAAAAGATCCTGAGTTCCATTGCCTGTACCAGGGTGGGAAAAAAGATCCTCGGGGCAATGATTGAAATTTCTAAGGTCACTGACTATAAAGTTCTGTAATTTCCGGGGACTGGGGATTTAGCTCAGTGGTTCCAATGCCTGCCCCACAAGCGCCACCCCCGGTACCAAAAAAAAAAAAAGTTCTGTAATTTCCAAGAGTCTCCATTTCTAAAGGTTTGAAGAGTCTCTGACATTTATAACACTCCAAAGTCCTGCAATCCAGCTGTTCTGCATTTTAGGACCCTAAGAAAATATGGTGATACAGTCTGGTGTTTCTGGGATTGTTCTAAAGCTGTGCTACCCCACAGAGCAGCCATGAGCTCCATGTGGCTATTTAAATTCACTAAAATGAAATAAAATTTGCCAGGTTTGGTGGTGCATGCCTGTAATCCCACCACTCAGGAGGCTGAGGCAGGAGGACTGCAGCAAGATGGAGGCCAGTCTGGGCTACACAGTGAATTCAAGGGCAGCCTGAAATACATATTGAGACCCTGTCTCAAAATAAATAAATAAATGAAATAAAATATAATAGAGTCCCTCAGTCCCTCGAGTGTCACAGGCCACATTTCAGGCACTCAATAGCCACATATACTAGTGGTTACTATGTTGGCCATCATAGCTACAGAACACTTCCATATTCATGGAATACTGCAGAACCGCTCTACAGTTTTAAGTGCTAAGTGCCCGGAAGTCTCTTCACCCTCCCACCCACGAAGGTGAAGGCACCAAGGCCACCCCAGCTGCCCCCAGCCCTCCCACCCCCTCTGCCTGCCCAGGTACCTGCCAAGGCCTTGATCCGGGAGCACTCAAAGAGCGAAGCAGCTGCGATAGAGGCACCTGGCAGCTCCCGCTCCCAGGCCGGGTCAGGACTCTCCCAGCGCGCTGTAGGGTTGTTGTTGTTGGGGGCAGGCAGGCCCTCCATATTGTCCACTTCACCCGGAACCTGCGCCATTGGGCAGGTGAGGCCTGGGGATGGGGAGAGGCAAGTTAGGGCCGGAAACCGGGCCTGAGCTCCAAGGACTCACTTCTAACAGCGACTGGCTGTAAGTCCTGTGCCCTCTCTCACCCTCAGCTTTTCCGTCTTTCAAGTGGACATAATTATGATAATAACAGGATGTGGTTGTGCACACCTGCAATCCTAGCTACTTAGGAGACTGAGACAGGAAGATCCCAAGTTTGAGTCCAGCCTGGGCAACTTAGTGAGACCCCATCTCAAAATTTTAGTATACGTGCTGCTGAAGCAAGCACCCTAGTCTCAAAATTTTAGAAGGGCTGGAGGTGTAACTCAGTGACAGAACACTTGCCTACCATGTATGAGGTCCTCAATTTAATCTTCAGTACCTGTCAAAAAAATATTTTTAATTGTTCACTCTAACCACTTTACACAACTGTGGTAAAGCCCCTGACTTAGCACCTGGTATAGGGGAGGGGCTCAACAGATTGTCGCTGTTATTATCATTAAAACAATAACATTATATCAATAGAATTCAATAGGCAGTAATAATAACAGTAGTGAACATTTATTGACCACTTGTTCTTTGTTTAGTGCTTTATATGCATTCTCTTATTTAATTCTTGCAAATTTAATTCCCCAGCAATCTGTTATTATTAGGCCCATTTTACAGAGGAGGAAACTGAGGCACAGAGGGATTATTCACTTGCCTGAGTTTTAGAACTAACAAATAGCTAGGATTTAAATGTGGGCACTGTGATAAAATGATGGTATTAACCCCAATTCTTCACCCATATGGCCACACCCTTTGCTATATATTCTTCAGTGTCCTCTAATTGCTAGAGAGGAAAAGGTCTATGTGTGACCAGACTTGACTGTGTGACTTGATTTGCCCAGGACAATTGGGTGGAAGTGATGGGTGCCAGTTCTGGGCTTTGGACTAAAGAGATTGCACATGTTTCTGCACGTGCTCTATGGTGGTCATGGGAAAACATACCTGAGCTAGACCAGGTCTAAGGCCCCAGTCTGCAGCCAAGGTCAAGTGCAGTCCCCCACTGGGACCTCAACACGGGAGTGCCCCCAGCAGAGACCAGAAAAATTGTCCAGCCAGGTCCAGCCTAAATCACTGAACTCAGACTCAATGGCTAAATAAATCCTTCTTGTTGTGAGACAATGAGTTTGGGGTGGTTTGTTATGCAGCATCACTACAGCTGACTGACATCTTGTCTGACTCCTGAGTTACGCTCTTGGACGCTGCTAGGTTGCAGCCATGAAATCCAAGTGGAGCTGACATCAGGTACATCTCCAGGCTCCTGACCCCAGTCCTGGTTCTAAGACTAGAAAAAGAATTAATTAATTAAGTGACTCCCTTCTCCAAAGACCTAGAAGGATGCTTTAGGAAGACAGGCTGGCCTGGGATGTAGTCTGTGTCGTAGAGAGTATTCCTTTTGGTGGATGCACCAAACTCCACTGTGATTCTGTTGTTCCATGGAAAGCTGAAAGTGGGTAGTGGCTGCCCCACATCTGTGTGACCTTGGCCATGTCACTTCCCCTCTCTGGGCCTCAGTTTGTTCATCTGCAAAAATCCTAGGCATATTTGAAGAAGAATTAAAATACAGGGAACATGGTATGGGGCACAGAGCAAGACCTCGATACATGTTTCTTGCTATTATGGGTTTTTTCCTCCTGGGAGGCTTGGGATCAAACCCAGGACCTCCGTGCCCTGTCACTGGGCTGTACCCCCACCCACTGTTGCCTTCATCCTCTGGTCATATGGCTTCCTAAATCCAAGTGCCTGTTCTGGAGTCAGACAGATATGAGTTCCACTCCTGCTTATTCTTGCTGTATCTTTAAACTGGTACCTGTACCGTGGCCTCCCTGTGGCTCAGTTCCTTCCCTGTTGAAGGTGTCACAACTGTTTCCTCAATGAGGAGTACTTGGGGATGGGGAGGCAGGCGCTTAGCACTTGGCGAGCTCTGTCAGGCCGGGGAGGGAGCAGCAGGCCTTACTCGGAAACTGAATGGAGAAGGGAGAGAGGCAAAGGTGAAAGAGGTGGGCAGGGGTGTCCTGCGGCCTGGCAAAGGCTGGCCCTGCTCTGGGCTGTGGGTGGGAGCAGGCGCGTTAAACCTTCCCACGCCGCGCTTCTCCCCGCGGTGCAGTCACCGGGCCAAGGAGAGGGCCCGGGAAGGACAAGGCCTGCGGGGGACCCTCGTAAGGAGCAGAGCTGGACGAGCCTGGGAGTTGGGGCTCTTTCCGCCGCGACCCCCTGCCTCCACCCGGCCCGGGAGAGCGAGGGCTCAGGCCGTGCCGGGAGCGGGGGAGGATGCTCGGGCAGGTGGGGAGATCTGGGGGAGGGGCCACCGGCAGCCCCGCCGCTCACCTGGGCCCGCGGCCGCTGGTGCTGCCGTCCCCGCTGCTCGCCTCGCCGGACAGCCCTCCCTGACGGCGTCCGCGGCGCGGCCCAGCCGGGATTCGCTCGGCCCCGCCGGCCGCCGCTCGACCAGATCCGCATGCGCCGCTGTCGCCGCCGCCGCGCCTCCCCCACTCGCGCCCGCCGCTGCGCTCGGCGCGTCCCCGGGACCCCCTCCCGCCCCCAACGCCCGAGGGCGGGTCCCCGCGCGTCACACGCCCGGCCACGCGGTTGAGGCACCGTCACACCCTCCCACGGGCTCGCACACTCCCCCCGCACGCGGAGCCACTTGCAACGTCACGAACGCACTATCCACGGCCACTCAGTGTCACTCCCTCACATGGGGTCGCACAGGGTCAACCTTCGGACTGTCACACGCAATTACAGACACTGTGCCCCGCACCGGAACAGGGTCCCACAGTGTCACACACGATGACACGCTCAAATGGGGACTCCACCACCAAGGTGGTGTCACACACAACCACGCATCTCACACACTGTCGCACACTCCCAGAGTCACAAAGTGTCACATCCTCACACATCATACACAGCTTCACAACCAGTGTCAAACATTTTACACACTCACACTTGTCACACCAGTCACCTAGTCACAAGAGGTGACACATCCTGCACTGCTACACACTCCTACATCACACAGTCACAGCAAGTCACAAAGAGCATCACAGTAACACCCACAACCACACACTCAAGTGAGACCAGTGTCACACACCCTCCAGGACACATGTGGTCTCACACACTATCAGTCTAGTGGTCACACACTCCATTATAGCTTCTGTTCCACACTCACGCCATATCACATGGGCTGACACACATTGTCACCCACGGTGCCACCACAAGGTCACAAAAGACCAGCATCGGCGCGGACCCCACAGGGGTTCACACACAGTCACACTGTAACACAAAGGAGAGCATAGGTGTCATCGCAATCATGCGCTCCCTCGTGGGTACTTAGGGTCACGAGGTTCACACAGGTACCTAGACACGCAGTTTACATGGTGTCACACCCACACACCCACCCCGTTCTCCTTCACAATCTCCTTGCTGTTGAAGGAACACCTGGGCGGTATTGCGAGTATCGGGTCGGCCCAGAAGCGCTGAAGTAGCTGGCGCGAGCTAGAACAGCGCGGTGGGCGGGGCGATGAGTGACAAGTTCGCCTGGCCCTGCCCACTCGCGCCCGTCCTAGATCAGGGAGTGGCTCCAAGTCTAAACGGGGTTCGGAGAGGGTAGTGCTGGGAGTTAAGGATTGCAAGCCGACGCCAGCCCGACCCACCACTCTCGTTCTTTTCTGCGGAGACCGAGTTTCGTTGGCCCTCACAGGGGGTGGGGCGCAGGCGGGACCTTCTGAGCCGCTCCGCCCCATCCCTCCGTCTAGAGAAAGCGGGTAGCACTGCCTAGCAGCCATTGGGTTCCCGCGAGTCGTGTGTCTCGGGCCTCGCAAACCCAGGACCCCGCAGCATGGCTGTCAAGAAGATCGCGATCTTTGGCGCTACTGGCAGGACCGGACTCACCACCCTGGCACAGGCGGTGCAAGCAGGCATGAGCTGGGGCTGGTGGGGATACGGTGGGGCACAGGGGCAGAGCATTAGAAAGGGGTTTCAAGGGGCTGAGGCTGGGCCGAAGGCCCAGTTCAGGTGTGTGAAGATTCAGGGAGCCACGCCGGTGACCATGGGAGTACAAGTGAGGGAAGCTACAAGATTTTTATGTGAGTGCAAGGCACTGAAATTGGCCATGGGAGCCTGGGGGGACTCCAGCGACACAGGTGTAAACAGGACTCTTATGAAATGTTCTTGACATAGTAGTGTTTGTCATTGTCGTGTTTGTGGATCCATTAAGCCAGCATCAGCTTGCTGCCCCACAGTGCCTTCTCGCGACATGTGTTAAATCCTGCCAGCCCTCTTCTACCCCACTTGACAGAAGAGAAAACAGAGGCCCTAAGCCAAGCATGGTGGCGCATGTCTGTAATGTCCCAATACTCAGGAGGCCAAGGCAGGAGTATTGCCAGGAGTTGGAGACCAGCCTGGGCAACATAGTGAGCTTAAGACCAGCCTGAACTACATAGCAAGTAGTGAGACCCTGTCTCAAAAAAGAAAGAGAGAGAGAGAGAGAGAGGGAGGGAGGGAGGGACGGAGAGAGAGAGAGGAAGAGAGAGAGGAGAGAGAGAGAGAAAGAGAGAGAGAAAGAAAGAAAGAAAGAAAGAAAGAAAGAAAGAAAGAAAGAAAGAAAGAAAGAAAGAAAGAAAGAAAGAAAGAAAGAAAGAAAGAAAGAAAGAAAGAAAGAGAAAAAGAAAGCAAGCTGAGGTCCAGAGAGTGGCTTGCCAAGTATCACCCAACTGGTAAGAGGCAGTGCTGGGATTGGAACCCAGTTCACGCTCTTAGAAACACCAAAAATGTCCAGAGATTCTTGGCTTGGACACTGAGCTGGAAACTGGAAAGGCTGAGGGTAGGTTGCTGTTTGTACAGAACAGAGGTCACAGAGATATTAAGTGAAGTCTTAGGAGCAATAGCTCTGGAAAATTCAATTAAAGCTGAAAATTTTGAGGTTTGCCAGAGAGGACATGGCACACCCTGCCCCCTAAGTCCACACTTTACCACCTCCCAGCTGGGCTGGGGACATCCAGATATAGGACCCCACCCATTAGCCCTGGTGACTCTCAGATATTGGCTATCTATGTTCCCCAAAAAGGGTGGAGGCCACCACGGCCTTCCAGGACTCTGTTGCCTCAGCCCATCCTCCCTTGGAGGGACTCTTCCTAGTGTCCTCTTCCCCGGGATCCTCAGGAAAGTCTTGATTTATGGTGAGGAAAGCACCCCTGGCCTCCAAGCAAGACAAGTGTGCTGATAGGCATTTCTAGGGGAGCAGTGGGGAAGGAAGAGTGTAAAGTTGAGATGTGCTGAGTCACTCTGAGTATCTGGACTCTGACCACTTTCTTAATGCCCTGGGCACTGGTATATGCTGTCTCACCCTGCTGGTCATAACTGGGACTGCAACCAGGGAACTTGGGAGCTGGAGCCTAGGGGAGACCCTGCTGTCCCCCTGCTCTGAATGTCTCTGCTGCCATGATCACAAACAGGAAGGACTTGGGTGAATGGGGTTTTATTGACCTCAGTTTTGGGGGGGTTTTGTTTTTGTACTGGCAGTCGAACTTGGGACCTTGTGTTTGCAAGGCAGGCTAAATCCCTGGCCCGAACTCAGTTTGGTTTTACAGGGCCTGGCAGAAGCCCTGCCCTGTGGCACACCTGTAATCCCAGCTACTGATCAGAATTTCAAGGCAATTTAATGAGACTGTCTCAAAGTTTTAAAAATGCAAGGGTGGGCCGGGGATTTAGCTAAGTGGCACTGTGCCTGCCTCAATAAGCACAAGGTCCCAAGTTCGATTCCAGGTAACAACAACAACAAAAAATGCAAGGGTTAGGTGAGGATGTAGTTCAGCGGTCCCTAAGTCCAATCCCTAGTACCACAAAAAAAATTTTTTTTAATAAAATAAAATCCTGAACAGCACTGGTTCTGCTGCACCCTGCCCCACATTCAAGTGGCCACCTCTACCACTCACCACCTGGGCCGGGGATGTAGCTCAGTGGTGCTGCCACCTGCCTCACAAGCACAAGGTCCCAAGTTCGATCCCCAGTACCAAAAAAAAAAAAATCTACCACTCACCACCTATGTGACCAAATGACTTGTCATCTAGAACCTTATACTGTGAGGATGAATCAGGGCGGGAGACCAAGGTGAAGCATCAAGAGTTCCAGCCCAGCCTGGCCAACTTAGTGACTTAGCAAGACCCTGTCTCAAAATAAAAATAAAAAAAGAGTTGGGATGGAGCTCTGTGCAAATGTCCTGGGTTCAATCCCTTGTACCACTAGCTAGCTAACTAAATAAATAGGGAATGAATCTCATTGTGCTTGCCCTGGGGTGCTTATGATGATTAAATTAAATGAGATACTATCAGTGAAGTGCTTAGAACCATAGCCAGTGCATGGTTGGTGCTCCCTGGCTGACTGAATTCAGATTATAGCCTCACATTATATTAAGGATCAGACTGAATCAGATACAATTTAGGTAAAAATTTTATTTTCTCCACCTACTAGCTGTGGCCCTAGCCCAATTACCTAAAATTGCCTCAGTTTCTGCACCCTTAAAGTTGGCAAGATAATAATTGTTACCTTGTTTTGTTTTGTTTTTTTGGTACCAGGAATTGAGCTCAGGGGCTCATGCTTGCCAGGCAGATGCTGCACCACTGAGCTACATTCTCAGCAATAGTTACCTTGTAGAGTTGTTGTGCTTCTCAAATTGGGTCGTAGTGAGTCCTGAAATATATTTAATTGGTCACAATACTATCAAAATGCATCATATATTAAATATAGGTTTTAGGAAATTTTTATATTTTATATGTATTTCGTACACAGGGTTAGGCAGCAAAATCTTTTATCAACTGAGGGTTGATATAAAAAAAACCTCTGCAGGGAAGGGGATTTGGCTCAGTCGTTTTGCTGCCTGCTGCATAAGCACAAGGACCTGAGTTTGATCCCAGGTACCAAAATAAATAAATAAATAAATAAAAATTTAAAAAAACTCTGCAACTTACTCTTGAATGGTTGAAGGGAATTATGTGTATTTCTACATGTATGTATAAGTAAATATAAAAATGTATGTGATTATGCATGCTATGTATCAGTGATAGGGAACATTTTAGAGACTGAGTGCCCAAACTGCAACCCAAATCCCACTTACTTATTGCAAAGTGCCAATGCTGCAATTAAACCTGAATACTGAAGTTGTAGTTTAGAAAAACAACTGTTATCTGATGCTGGGCTGCTGGGGAGACTTGGCTTGCATGCCGTTAGAGAGAAAACTCTGTGTGCCCGTTGCGACACGCATGCCACAGCTTCACCACTACTGCCATATACAGAGAGAGGCGGGGGGCGGGGGGGGGGGAGCCAGGTGTAACTCACACCTATAATTCCATAATCTCAGCACTGGAGAGACTAAGGGAGGAAGACTGTGAGTTCAAGACCTTCCTGGGTTACATAATTGAATTCAAGGCCAGGCTAGATTACTTACTGACATTCTGTCTCAAAAAACCAAACAAACAGGGCTGGGGTTGTAGCTCCGTGGCACTCGGCCTGCCTGGCAAGCGCAAGGTCGTGAATTCAATCCCCTGTACCAAATAAACAAGCAAAAGAAGAGCAGGGCCGGGGATTTAGCTCAGTGGTTCCGATGCCTGCCTCAAAAGAACAAGGTCCCAAGTTCGATCCCCAGTACCAAAAAAAAATTTAAAAACAACCACAAACAAAAGAAGAGCAGCACAGAGTATCGAGGAAAATGAAGCAAAAGCAAAGATGAAATATTTGAGTTTTGTAAATTGGGTGTGGTGTAGCATACCTGTTGTCCTAGCACTCAGGAGGCTGAAGCAGGTGTTCAAGGCCAGCCTGAGCTATTTAGTGAGTACAAGCCCAACTTCAACTACACAGTGAGACCCTGTCTCAAAAAGCAAAACAAAAGCCTGGGATTTAGCTCAGTGGTTCTGGCGCCTGTCTCACAAGCACAAGGTCCCAAGTTCGATTCCCAGTACCAAAAAAAAAAAAGTAAAACAAGGGCTGGGGATTTAGCTCAGTGGCACCTGCCTGCCTGTTAAGCACAAGGTCCTAAGTTTGATCTCTGTACCAGAAAAAAAAACAAAAACAAAACAAAATTAAATGTCAATTATGTTAATTTGGGGAGGGGTGGAACTAGGGAGCTCAAAATTTTTTTGTTGTTTTGTTTTGTTTTTAAACAGGAGTCTCACTATGCAGTTCAGGCTGGCCTAGAGCTAGCAGCAATCCTCCTGCCTCAGCCTCCCGAGTGCTGGGATTACAAGTGTGCACCACCATGCCCAGTTCTAAAAATATTTTTTGAAAAACAGCCCATTCATAGACTCAAGTGCTCAGCGCTTGATGCGTGGGGGACCCTTATGAGTGCTGTCCCTCGTCACTGATATAGGAGCACTAACAAAGACCCTTGTGATGTGCTCTGCCAGAGCGCTCACTGTCCTGAGAACAGGTATTTTAGTCCATCTGGTCTGTTGTGACAAATACCTGACAGTAGGTGACTCCTATTTCACATGGTTCTGGAGGCTGAGAAGCCCAAGACACTGGTGGCTGAAGTGAGAGCCAGCTTCTCAGAGATGGAGCCTCTAGCTTGGGGGAGGGGGCATATTGAGAGAGAAAGAAAGGAAAGAATGCACAACTTTTTTTTTTTTTTGGTACCAGGGATCGAACTGGGGTCCTTGCGCTTGCGGGTCCTTGCGCTTGTGCAGCAGCCAGCGAAACCACTAAGCTAAATCCCCGGCCCAAGAATGCACAACTTACTGGGATCCATTTTAACCAATACAGTGGCAATTAGGCAACGCCCACCTAGGTGCCCTGTAAACTCCCATGTGAGGAGCAACACAGGTTTGGTGTCACGCCTTCATAAAAGGGAGTCACAGAGGATGGGGACACTAGGTGTTACAATCCTTATTTCAGAGGTGAGGAAGCTGAAGCAATCAAAGGAGAGGTCTCAGGAGGTTCCTCAGCTGGCAAGTGGCAAGACCAGAGTCTGAACCCAGGTCCACGGGACAAGAAAGCCTGAGGTTTGGTGTCTGTGAAAGGTGAGGGAGATGACAGTGAATAGGACATAGATACTGGGCTCTCGGGACTCTTGGTTTACTGCAAGTCAGCAGTAGGAGACCATGGCAGAGGAAGAACAAGTGACTGGGTGGGGATGATGAGTGCTTCAGTCAGAGGAACAACACATGCAAAGGCCAGGCAGCAGGAAACAGCTCGGTGTGTTGGAGGAACTGAAGTGCAGAGGGCAAGGAAGATGTGGCTCACTGAGGAGGAGGAGCCGGAGCTGGTGGTGGGACGCTGAAGGCTATCTGAGGGGTGAGGGCTCCACTGCGGGGCTCTGAGCAGGGAGCCACTTAGTGTCTAACTGGAAAGCTCTGGCTGCCATAGAGAATGTGGACTGGAGGGGCAGGCAGGGCCCAGGAACCTAGGGAAGACCCAGGGAAGGGACCAGAAAGGAGCCTTAGGCTGTTCGAGGTGCATGGGAAATTGTGAGATGATTAAAGGGCATAATAATACCAAACAAAGTAGAGCTTATTTCTGTGCCAGGCACTACCCTACCTTTTGGTTAATTTATCTTAGTTTCACCTTTACCTTGTGTGTGTGTGTGTGTGTGTGTGTGTGTGTGTGTGTGTGTGTGTGCAGTACTGGGGTTTGAATCCATGGTCTTCCCACTAAACTAAACCCTAGCCCTTTAAAAATTTTTTATTTTGGGCTGGGGATTTAGCTCGGTGGTTTCGCCGCCTGCTGTGCAAGCGCAAGGATCCAAGTTTGATCCCCGGTACCAAAAAAAAAAAATTTTTATTATAAGACAGGATCTGGCTAAGTTGCTAAATTTCTCAGGTTGTACTAGAATGTGTGATTTTTCCGCCTCAGCTTCCCCAGAGTCTGAGATTGCAGATGGGCACTACCATGCCTGGCCACTTCTGCATTTTTTATAACAGCTTTTTTTGTTTGGTTTCGTTTGAGACAGGGTCTCCCTATGTAGCCCAGGGTGGCCTCAAACTTGAGGCAATCCTCCTGCCTCAGTCTCTGGAGTGCTGGGATTACAAGTGTGTGCCACCATCCCCCGCTGTATAACAGTTTTGTTTTTTTCATCCCAGGGATGGAACTCAGGACCTTGTGCTTTTGAGGCAGGCACCGGCACCACTGAGCTAAATCCCCAGCCCAGTACTCCATTTTAGTAAAAAAAACAAACCCCAAAAATCCCACATTTTCTTTATCCAGTTTCCAACTGATGGGCGATTGGACTGTTTCCAAGTTTTAGCTGTTACAAACTGTGCTGCTATGAACATGGATGCACATATATCACTGTGGTATGATTCTTTTAATTCTTTTGTGAAGATACCCAGTAAGGAAATAGCTGGGTCAAATGGGACCTCTAGTCCTAGTTCTTTGAGGTATCTCCATACTGATTTCCACAGTGGTCGCACCAGTCTGCACTCCCACCAGCAGTGGAGCAGGGTTCCTCTTTCCCCACAGCCCCACCAGCATTTGTCATTGGTTGATTTCTTGATAGCAGCCATGCTTTCTGGAGTGAGGTGGAATCTCAGCTTTGTTTTCATCTGCATCTCTCGAATGTCCAGTGATGCTGAACATTTTTTCATATGTTTATTTGCTTTTTTAAAGCTATAATTCACACACTATACATTTCCTCCATTTAAACTATCAATTTGAGGAACCTCTAGAATGCACCCTCCCATTTTTCACCCAAATCCTCCCCCAGCCTTAGGTAACCTCTTATCTACTTCCTGATTGTATGGATTTGTCTATTCTGGACATTATCTGTTAATGGAATCATATAGTGTTGGTTCTCTGTGATTAGCTGCTTTCACTTGGCCAAAAAAAAAAAAACAAAACATTCTCCAGTTCATGTATGTTGTTTTTTTTTTGAGATAGGGTCTCGCTATGTAATATAGGCTGGCCTTGAACTTACTATGTAGCCCAGGCTGGCCTTGAACTCAAAGCAATCTTCCTGCCTTAGCCTTCCGAGTTCTGGGATTCAAGTGTGTGCTGCCACACCCAGCAGGTTCACGTGTATTGTACCATCCATCAGTATGTTATTTTCTTGCCGAATGAAACTGTGCTGTTTGGATAAACCATATTTTATTTATCTATTAAGCAGCTGATGAATATTAATATGAATATCACTACTGTAAACGTGCATGTGCAAGTGGTTGTATAAAAATATGTTTTTGTTTCTCTGGGTCCTATATCTAAGAGTGGAATTGCTGGGTCATGTACTGTGGTCTGTTTAATCTTTTGAAGGGCTGGGACTATAGGTGTGTGCCACCAGACCCAGCATATACGGTAGTTTTTTGGTGATGGTAGTAGTTTGGTTTTCTTTTTCTTTTCTTTTTTTTTTTTGCAGTACCGGGGATTGAACTCAGGACCTTGCGCTTGCAAGCAGGCATGGTGCCACTGAGCTAAATCTCCAGTCCCAGGGTTTTTTTGTTGTTGGGGTTTGTTTTTGTTTTTGTTTTTTGAGACAGAGTCTTGCTGTGCAGTCCAGGCTAGCCCTGAACTCATCATGTAGCCCAGGCTGTCTAGAAATTATGGTAATCCTCCTGCCTTAGCCTCCTGAGTGCTGGGACTACAGGCTTCCACCACCATACCTGGCTTCTCACCTGTGTTTCTGCCTTTTTTTTTTTCTAATGCCTGCTACACTTGAGGCTAAAGCAGGAGGATTGTGGCCCAGCCTCTATTTTCTTAAAAAAGAAAATAGAGAAAAAATACTCTGCTTGATTTGCACAGTGGGAGTCCCTTCTGGTGGCTTCTGCATCACTTTGACCCCAGCCCTCAGTAAGCACTGCCTTACTGGGCACTCAGCAGCATTCAGCCCTGTCTCCTTTCACTGCCCCAGCACCACCCTCAGCAGTTTCCCCAAGGAGCTCTCAATCATTTTTCAGAAAGACCTTTAGAGACTACAGGTGTGTGCTGCCACAGCCAGCATAGTTAGTGCTCTTATAAAAAGAGGAAGAGAAACTATAAGAGGAAGAGAAACTATAAGAAGAAGAGAAGCACACACTTATAATCCCGGCGCTCTGAGAGGCTGAGGCAGGAAGATCAAAAGTTCTAGCCCCACCTAGGCAATTTAGCAATTTAGAGAGACCCTGTCTCAAAACGAAAAAAGGTCTTGGAATATGGCTCTGAGCTCCCTCAGTTTAATCCCCAGTACTGAAAAACAAACCAGCTGGGCGTGGTGGCACATGCCTATAATCCCAGCACTCCCGAGGCTGAGGTTGATGAATTGGGAGTTCAAGGACAGCCTGAACTACACAATGTCAAGCTGTCTCAGAAAAAAAAAAAAATCAGCCGGGTGTGGTGGTGCACGCCTGTGATCCCAGCACTGGGAGGCAGAGGCAGGAGGATGCCAGGAGTTCTCGGATTACAGGCGTGCACCTCCATGCCAGGAGAGAACTTTACAGTGTGTGCTGGGGTCAGGAAACAGTTATCCAAAATTGTTTTGGTGGGGCATATACTTTGATGACCACTAAGGAAGGGCTGGGCTTCTAGAAGGAGCATTATCAGCAGAAGGTGGAACTGATCTAGCTGCGGCCAATTCTGGGCAGCTGTGTCCCTGAGTCTTCTGAACCACAAATGGGAATCAGAGCAATGACAAGGCACTAAAATCCTTTTATTGCTACAAGCTGGAGCTGTCTGGTGCACGGGGAGCCCCAGGAGGCCTCCATGGAGGTTGGGGGGGGGGTTAAGACAGAGTCTCACTATGTAGTTCAGGCTGGCCTTGAACTCACTGCAATCCTCCTACCTCAGCCTCCCAAGTACTGGAATTACAGGCTTGCGCCACCATGCCCAGTTCAGGTTGTGGATGAGTATGAATGTGTTGCCTTATTTTAACAACTCGATTTGCCAGCAAAAATGTTTGAAGATGACAGACCTGGAACAGGAGACCTAGAGGATGGATTTGGGGATTCATGGTGTTCTCTGAGGCCTAAGAGTGCCAACCTGCACACCCGCTCACCCTACTCTCTTCTCTTTGCCCACAGGTTATGAAGTGACGGTGCTGGTACGGGACCCCTCCAGGCTGCCATCAGAGGGGCCCCAGCCAGCTCACGTGATAGTGGGGGACGTACGGCAGGCAGCCGACGTGGACAAGACTGTGGCTGGGCAGGACGCTGTCATTGTGCTTCTGGGCACTGGCAATGACCTCAGTACTGAGCCCCCCCTCTGCCCACGGCCCCTCCCTACACCTCAGCCCCCAGCGCCACGTCCACCCCCCGCCCCACCCCTGCCACCCCTGCCGCCACCTCCTCCCACCAGTGACAGCCACTCTCTGTCCCCTCTAAGGTCCCACTACAGCGATGTCCGAGGGCGCCCGGAACATTGTGACAGCCATGAAGGCTCATGGAGTGGACAAGGTCGTGGCCTGCACCTCGGGTGGGTGGTGGGGTCATGGAGATGGGGCTGAGCTGGGAGGTGGGTGCTGGACAGGTAGCCCAGGAACCTCTGAAAGGTGACTTTGGGCCATTCCAAGTCACCATGCATTTATTGAACACCAGTCACGTGCCTTAATCTTACTGGCTGATGCTGAAGACATAGTGGTGACCAGTACGGCTGTGGGCTGTGCAGTCACAGGGCTCACAGACGGTGATCAAACTGACATCTAAGCTAAGCAGGGTGGGATGGAGCAGGCACAGGCAAGGGCATCAGGGCCAGGAAGAGAGAAGCCCAGGAGGAACCTCACAGAGAAAATGGTGGCGCTGTGGCTACACACCAGCTCTCAACCCACCCGGAGCTCCAATTATGGAGAGATGGACATGGAACATATCGTTGTCCTGCCAGGCTGGGCTGTAGCTCAGGGGCAGAGCACTTGCCTAGCCCATGCAAGGTTCTGGGTTCCATCCCAGCACTGCAAAACAAACAAACAAAACAGCAGTACTGAGTGATCCAGAAAGAAGGCTACAGAGAGCAATTCATGAGAACAGCATTTATTGAGCACTTACTGGATGCTAGGTCCTGTCTGTTTTCCTGAATAAGAGCCAGTTAATCCTCACAAAACTCCTCTGAATACTTATACTCAGGCCACAAATAGTAGTTTAGAAAGTACTAGCTATTTTTACTTTTGTTTTGGGTACCAGGGATTGAACTCAGGACCTTGCGCTTGCAAGGCAGGCACGGCACCACCGAGCTAAATTCCTGGCCTTCTTATTTTTTATTCTTTTTTATTGTTTTTACTTGGGGGATTGTTTGTTTCCTGTTTGGGGTTTTTTGTTGTTGTTTTTTTTGAGACGGTCTAACTGTGTAGTTCATTCAGGCTGGCCTTGAACTCACTATGTAGCCCAGGCTGGCCTTGAGCTTACAATGATCCTCCTGCCTCAGCCTCCCAAGTGCTAGGGTTACAGATGTGTGCCACCACACCTGGCATAACTCTTTTCCCCCAGGATAGCTCAGGGAGCAGGGGGCCCAGCTGGCTTCTCTCCTGGGCCCACACTGCTGAGCCAAGTGCAGCAGGCTGTCTGCATGGCTCATGCTCCTCCCTGCTGTGTTCGCCCACTGGTTGCCCCCTTGGGACAGGCAATGGCATGAGGAGTCTGTAGGGCAGGAATAAAGGTTCTCTGGGGAGCAGAGACCATAGCAGCAAAGACCTGGAAGCCAGAGCTAGCTGGAGGGCAGGAAGGAAAATCATTTGGTGCTTTTTTTCCCCCTCAACCTGTGAAATGGAAAAATAATCCCAAACCTGAAATTTTAGAATGGTCTGCTGTTAGTTTTTCTTTTTTTGGAGACGAATTCCTGCTATGTTGCCCAGGCTGATCTGATACTAATGGACTCCAGCAATCAGTCTGCCTCTGGCTTCCAATTTCTTGTTAGAAAAATATCCAAAGCAGGAAAATTGAAAGAGTAGTAGGATGAACACCTATATTCTTGCCACCTTGATTCCAAAACTGCTAATATGTATTATAATTGGTTTATCTCTGCCCACATATATGAATATTTTTTGGTTTTGTTTTTCTCCTCCTAAACTATTTGATGTGGAGTTACAGACCTCAGGCCCCTTCAGTCATTCCTAAAAAAGGGACTTTCTCTTCTAGAACACAATAAAAAAAAAAAAGAGGACACTTTTAGCCTCTAATTATTAGTGTCAGATATTCCTACTGTACACAAATTTCAAGGTAAAAGATCAGAAAGATATTTGTTCTCTGAGAAGCCTGGAGTTTATCCATTAAGGTGGAGATATTTTTTGTTTTTTGTATTTTCTATACTGTGGACTGAAACCAGGGCCTTTGCACTGACCTACATCCACAGCTACATCCATATTTTCTATTTTGAGATGGTCTCAATAAGTCACTAAGTTACCCAGGCTAGGCTCAAATTTGTGATCCTTCTGCTTCTGCCTTCCAGTGGGCTGAGATTCAGGCATGAGCCACCATGTCTGACTAGGATTGTTTTTTGGGTTTTTTTGGTACCAAGGATTGAACTCAGGACCTTGAGCTTTTGAGGCAGGCGCTGGAACCACTGAGCTAAATCCCGGGCTCCTAGGATTGTTTTTTGAAGGAGGTGCCTCAAAGGGTTAGAAAGAAACCCAGGGTAAGTGACAGACTGGATTTGCAATTGCCACCTGGAGGCCGGAGGCAGCTGTTCGGCCAAATGAGGAAGAGAAGTTGGGCCCCTGCTGCCCAGGAAATCAGTGAGACAGTTATAGTGACTTTTTTTGGGAGGTGCTGAAATCAAGGTACACTAGCACATTAGGCATACTAGCACATTCTCTACCACACCTCCAGCCAGCACCAACCCCATTTTATATCATCCCGCAAGGAAACAGGCAGTTGGCCAATGATTGGCCCAGAGTTGGAGGCAAGACAGGGCCCACACTCTCACTTATCTCATCAAACTGTGCCTAAACATTTAGCACGGTTGGAGCACAGTAAATGTGCTATCGTTGTGAGCTGGGAATGTAGTTTGGCTAAGGCTTACTGATGCCTTCAAAAAAAATTAGTCAGGGCTGAGGATTTAGCTCAGTGGCACCACACCTGCCTGACAAGCGCAAAGTCCTGAGTTTGATCCTAGGTGCTAAGTAAAAAACAACTCCAAATAATATTTAGTCAGGGGCCAGGGATTTAGCTCAGTGGTTCCACTGCCTGCCCCGAAAGTACAAGGTCCCGAGTTCAATCCCTGGTACCAAAAAAAAAAATTAGTCGGGCCTGGCAGTGCACCTTTAATCCCAGCACTTCAGAGGCTGGGACAGGAAGATTACAAAGTCAAGTCCCACCTGGACAATTTAGTGACTTAGTGAGAACCTGTCTCAAAATTTGAAAAAACCAAATGTGGTAGCACATGCCTGAAATCCCAGAATTCTGGGAGGCTGAGATAGGAGGATGAAAAATTTGAGCCCAGCCTGGGAAACTCAGAGATTTAGCAAAATGCCATATCAAGATTTTTTTAAAAATTGTTTTAATTAGAAGAGTACTGGGTATGGTGGCGCATGCCTGTAATCCCAGCATTCAAGAGGCTGAGGCAGGAGGATCGCTGCAAGTTCCAGGACAGCCTGGACTACATAGTGAGATCCTGTCTCAGAAAAAGGAAAAATTAGAAAAGGGCTGGGGATATAGCTCAAGGCAAAGCACCAAGGTCTAATCCCTAGTACCACCATTTAAAAAAACATAGTGAGCACCTGTAGTGTCCCAGACTCTTCTAAGGCTGGAGATGGAGGTGAGAATCAGACAGGTGGAGCTGACCTGGTCCTAGAGCAGGGAGGTAATAGATTAGGACCTGGGGAAACTTCGGTGTGAGAGTAGGGAAGGTGCTGGGGGAAAAGACAAGCCGGGGGAACAAGGGGGAACAATGATCGTATAGGCTGCGGGAGGAGGGTGGCAGTTTTAAATAAGGTGGTCAGGGAAAGCTGTACTGCTGGGAAGCCCTTGATCAAACTGCCCTGCCAGAAAAAGGGTCAGGGATTTAGTTCAGTGGTTCTGCACCTGCCTCAAGCGCAAGGTCCTGAGTTTGATCCCCGATGCCCAAAAAACAAAAAAACCAAACTGCCAGAAAAAGAAGGGAGCCACGAGAGGGAGCTGCACTGGGACAGAGGGACCTGCAGCTGCAGAGGTGGTGTGGGGCTGGTGCAGAGCAGCTGCAGGGAGGGTGCTGAGTGGATGTCTTCGAGCTGGCAGAATTGGCCTCATGGGGCCCAAGACCCAAGAGGTTGTCCATGCTGAGGACGTGGCTTTCACCCTGAGCGAGATTTGGACCTGCAGCTGGGTCCTGACTCAGCTGTCACAGTCTCCGTCTGGCCAAGATGGATGGGGCAAGGAGACCAGGGAGGAGCAAGAGGCCATAGTGGATAGTACTGGACTGGATGAGAAGTCTGATAACAGTCCAGGTGCAATGGCAATGGTGCCAGCTGTAATCCCAGCACTCTGGGAGGCTGAGGCGGGCAGATTGCAAATCTGAGTCCCCTGCTGAGCAATTTAGTGAAAGCTTGTCTCCAAAAAATTAAAAGGTCTGGGGATGTAGCTCAGTGTGAAGGCCTTGGGTTCAGTCACCAGTACTGCAGAGAGAAAGAGAGAGAGGGGGCATTTGAGCAGTGTGGCCGAGGTGACCCTTTCCTGAAGGTGTGCTGAGCCATGGCGGAGTGTCATCCTGGCACCAAAACAAGACAACCCAGATTGACCCTGCCCTGTGTCCCCCTTTCAGCTTTCCTGCTATGGGGCCCAGCCAAGGTGCCCCCACGACTGCAGGACGTGACCGATGACCACATCCGGATGCACAAGGTGCTGCAGGAGTCAGGCCTGAAGTACGTGGCTGTGATGCCACCACACATAGGTGAGTGGGGCAGGGAGCCAGGAGCACTGTCACCAGCCTGTTCCCACCTGCCCCCTGCAGAGATCTATGGGGCCTTCCCTGGCCACCCTAAAACTCCAAACACTGCACATCAAGGGTCTCCAGTTCATATTCAAATGCCCCCTCAAAAAAAACCCAAAACCCTGAAAAACACATTTCCTACCCTTCTCTGCTTTATTTGATCTCCCTCTTTTTTTTTCTTAACGGTACTGGCAACTGAATTCAGGGCCTTTGCACTAAGTCACATCCCCAGCCTACCCACCCCATATTTTAAAAATTTTTATTCTAAGACAAGATCTCACTATGTAACCCAGTCTGGGCTCCAATTTGAGACCCTTCTGCCTCAGCCTCCCAAAATGCTGGGATTGCAGGCATGTACCACCAAGCCTGGCTTTATAACACACTGCTCATATCTCTGCTTAACAAACTGCTGGAAATGTAGACTTGTGAAGCAACTACTGTTTATTATGATTGTCTCTGAGTCCTGGGAGGGGACCAGGTGGCTCTTACAGTGGAGGAGGGGCTCTTCATGCAGGTGTGATGGCTGGAGCTGGATGGAGTCCAGGAGAAGGCTGCCTCGTGGTGGATGCAGACCATTGGCTGGACACCTGCACATGGCTTCCCCTTGTGGCGGGGCTTCCTCAAAGTAGGCTAGCTGGGCTTCTGGGCATAAGTCCGGGAGAGAGCCATTGTCTTTTGTGCCTGTCTCAAAAAATTTATTTTTGGTGCATGCCTATAGTCCTAGCACTCGGAAAGCTAAGGCAAGAGGACCACTGCAAGTTCGAGGCCAACCTGGACTACCTAGTAAGTTCAAGGCCAGCCTCAACTGCATAGCGAGACCCTATCAAAACAACAAAAAATGGGCAAGGGATTTAGCTCAGTGGTTTTGCTGCCTGCTGCGCAAGCACAAGGACCAGAGTTCAATCCCTGGTACCAAAAAAAAAAGTGTTTTTTTTGAGACACTCATAATATTTTGTTGATCAGAAGCCACCATGAGGATCTAGGATCTAGGCTCTAGGATCCTAGCACCACACACAAACACAATTCAAGTGGGCTATACTGGCTCATGCCTGTGGAGGGCTGACACAGGAGAATCACAAGTTCAAGCCTAGCTAAGGTGACTTAGAAAGATCCTCTCACCCAAAAAAAAAAAAAATTTTTTTCAGAAGTTCTTACTCCTTGTCTTCTTATAAGAAGGTCAGCTTTTTTTTTTTTTTTTTTTTTTTTGGTACCAGGGATGGAATTTGGGAGCTTGTGCTTGTGAGGCAGGTGGTGGAACCACTGAGTTAAATCCCCAGCCCAAGAACATCAGCTTTTGGAGGCGAGAGTTTTGTCTATCTGTGGTGCTAGGTCACCGGTGGCTCAAGGCAGGGCTTTGGTCTTGTTCTTAGCACAGCTGTGTCCCCAGTGCTTGGTCCAGGGCTGGCACTCATGGGTGGCCGGCAGTTGTCAGATGAACGAACATGGGGAACCACACTCTGTGGTGGTGGAAGAAAAGGAACCAGGGAGCTACACCTGCACCCTCTTTTTTCTCCTGGCCTGGGGTCCACACTGAGAGGGATGCAGAGTGAGACACAGGAATGGATTCATTCATTCAACAAATGTCTCCTGCATATGAGTCATGTGCCTGGCTGCCACTGTGAGCACTAGGGACTGCTCCTGGGAGATTTCCACTTCTAGGGGAGGAGATGATGCCGGGCTTTACCCAGTGGTTCTGCTGCCTGCCTCAAAAGTACACGGTCACATGGTCCCGGGTTCCATCCCCAGTACCAAAAAAAAAAAAAAACCTAAAGTCAAGTCTAGTGGAGGAGAAGTCAGACATTAATATTGATAGTGATAAGGGCCATGGATTTAGCTCAGTGGTTGCCAGCTTCAGGCGCAAGGTCGGATCCCTGATACCAAAAAAACCAAAACACCAATTAGCCAGGTGAGGTGCCACACACCTATAATCCCAGCATGTAGGAGGCTGAGGCAGGAGGGTCACAGTGAGTTCAAGGTCAGCCTGGACTACATAGTTCAAGGCCAGCCTGAGAAAGAAAGACAGGAAGAGAAATACATATTTAGGTTCAATCATGGGAGATGTATTAGGTCCCTATTTGGACCAAAAAATCCTATGGGGGTTCTTGTTTTGTTTGATACAAGGTCTCACTATGTAGTTCAGACTGGCCTTGAACTCACTAGTAGCCCAGGCTGGCCCCAAACCTATAGCAATCCCTTTGCATTAGCCTCCCTAGAGCTGGGATTACACCACTCCTGGTTTGAATCCTGTTTTGAATCAGCAGTGAAAGTGCATGGTAGAGAAGCTGCTGGTGAAAATTTGAGCCTGAGTACCCTGAGGAGGTTGGCCCAGGGCCTTACCTCAGGAGAGGCAGTTTCCTCATCTCTAAATGGGTCACTCTCCTGATTCTTTTTTTTTTTTCTTTCTTTTTTTAATTGAGACAGGATCTCACTATGTAGATCAGGCTGGGCTTGAACTCAGTGACCCTTCTGCCTCAGCCTTCCAAGTGCTGGGATTATGGGTGTGCACCACCATGCTCTGCTTTTTTCTTTTTTCCCCTCAGCTTGCTTCTTCTTTTTCTTTTGTACCCAGGATTGAACTCTCAGGACCTTCCGCTACATCCCTGGCCCATTTTTTTTCACTCCCCCCCCCACCCCCCACCAGCTTCATACCCGAAAATTAGTTTAACACAGAATAGTATTTTAAAAGATTTTTCTAAAGGGTTTGTTTTGTGTTTTTGTGGTTTCGAGTTTGGTTTTGGTTTGGTATATGGGAAAACTTTCAAACAAGACAGTAAAGGTAGATGAATACTAACAAACCCTTTGCCTAGGTTCACTGGTTAGCATTTTGCCCTGTTCTTTTACTTTCTCTCTTTTCTTTCTTTAGATAGATATATTTATAGATAGATAGATATATTTATATATAGTGCATATTTCTGAAATACATATATAACATATATGCATATATATTTTTCTGAGCTGCGTAGGAGTAAGTTGCAGTTGACACAATTCTCTCCTGAGTTCCCCAACAGCCATCTCTGAAGAAGAAAGATGCTTGTAAAGGAGCCACTGTCACACCTAAGGAAACTGGCATTGTCTTTCTCTTCCTTGTCATTCAGTATCCTCTCCAGATTCAGATTTTTCCAGTTGTCAGAAAATATCCCTTCACCCTAAATCGTGATCCAGTCGGGGATCATGCATTGCATTTAATTGGCATATCACTTTTAATCTGAAACAATCTTCTTGTCTTTTTTTAAATGTTTCTCATAACATTAACCAAGGCAAGTTTCTCTCTTTCTTTTTTGGTACGGGGGATCAAACTTGGAACTTTGTGCTTTCAAGGGAGGCAGTGGAACCACTCAGCTAAATCCCCAGCCTGGCAAGTTTCTTTTTCTGTCCTTTGAAATGAGATCTTACTATGTTGCCCAGGCTGGTCTCAAACTCCTGGACTCAAGTGATCCTCCTGCCTCAGCCTCCAATGTAGCTGGGACTACAGGTGCACCCCTCAGTTCCTAGCTCTAGTGTCTTTTTTTTTTTTTAACTTATCTGTATTTGTTATCTCTTAAAGCAGAATGTGACTAAGGGTGTGTTCCTAGCCTTCTCCCCTCCCCTACTGGGGACTGAGCCCAGAACCTTCACACTGAGTTACATCCCCAGTGTTTTTGGTTGCTGTTGGTTGGTTGGTTGATTTTTTTGAGACAGGGTCTTGCTAAGTTGCTCAACCTGGGCTCAAACTTTTGATCTTCCTGCCTCAGCCTCCCAGAGTTCTGGGATTACAGGTGTATGCATACCACGAGGCCCAGCTGAATATGTGTTCCTTACTGCATGTGATTCCAGAGAGTCCCACAAGTGATACTGCATTTGACACCCAAGTTTAGTTAGTCGGTCACTTTCTTTTTTCCTTAAATTCTTTCATTGGTACATTTTAGGTATACAGTACATTTTCATTTATCATTGAGTACCTGTACCTGTACATGACGTATCTTGGTTCTTATTATTATTTTTTTTTTTTGGTACCGGGGATCAAACTCCGGTCCTTGCGCTTGTGCAGCAGGCAGAGAAACCACCGAGCTAAATCCCCGGACCTTGGTTCTTATTTTTTCCCCATTACCTGTGTGCCCTTCACCCCCTCCATCCTTCCCTATTTACAAAGACTTTGTTTCCATTTTTTCCCTTTGTTATAATTTTTCCTTTCCCTTCTTTCCTTTCCCCTTCCCCTCCCACTTCCCCTACCCCTTTGGACCTTTTCTTCCTATTTCAAATAATCAATTATTTATTTTAATCATTTTAATCCTTATTTACACTTTCAGAGAAACTATTCAGGATTTATACATGTGTGTCCTATTTATTTCACTTAAGAGTACGGCCTAGGGCTGGGAATTTAGCTCAGTGGCTCGGTGGTTTCACTCCCTGCTGTGAAAGTGCAAGAACCCGAGTTCAATCCCCGGTACCAAAAAAAAAAAAAAAAAAAGAGTGTGGCCTCAATATGCCTCCATTTAGCTATAAATGTCTCTAGTTTGTCATTCTTTATGGCTGAGTAGTACTCCATTTTATCTTTACAAACCACATTTTCTTTATCAAGTTTCCAGCTGATGGACACTTGGGCTGTTTCCAAACTTTAGTTATTACAAACTGCATTCAGCTATTTTTAATGGTCGCAGTGCACCCACCAATGGCCCTCTCAATAGCCAACTTGTGCCAGTTCACTGTCCCTCCTAAGACCTAGTCAGGGCTGGGATGTAGCTCAGTGGTAAAATGTTTATCTAGCATGCATAAGGCCCTGGGTTCCATGCCCAGAGCTGCAAAGAATGAATGAACAAAAAGAAAGGACAGAGAGACAGACAGACAGACACCCACAGGATATACCAACTCATTTTTCACAGGATCAAAAGAATGTCTCTCTTTCCACTGCCTGGAAAATGTGGACCCACACTTGGGACCTCCCCTTCAGTCCTCCCAGAAGTTCCAGAAGGAAGGACCCATAATAAATCGAGCTTTTGCCCCTGGACCATGACCCTTTGTAATCCCAGGAGGTGACCAGTGAGCTCAGTTTGCCTATTGGTCAAATAGGTTAATCGTGGGTCCCAGGCTAACCTCTGCTTTCTTTTGCACCTCTGACATATTTTCTGTTTTCCTTTCTCAGAAGTTGCCTTTTCTTACTGAGTGTCTGCCTCCTGAGGGAAGGGATTCTTGTGTTTTGTCTCTTACTGGGTGCTGAGCAATGACCCATTGTAGGTGATCCTGTCAGATACCTGAGAAAAACAATTTAGAAGAGGAAGCTTTGTTTGGGCTCATAGCTTCAGAGGCTGCAGTCCATGGTCACTTGGCTTCATTGCTTCTAAGCCAGCGGCAAGACAGAAACTTTATCAGGGCAGAAGAGTGTGGTGCAGCAAAGCTGCTGGAAGCAGAGTGAGAGTCCAGAGAGAGGAAGAGGCCAGGCATCAGATAAAATCCCAAACTCACTGCTCACAATCTCCCTTCAACTGTCTCCATCTCCTGTTTACATCACCCCTCTCGATAAGATCATCCAGTTACCACCCCATCAGTGGATTCTTCCATTAAATTAGCAGCCTCATGATCCAAACCCTTCAAAAAGCCCATTTGATGGCAACTGAGGCTTCAACACAATAAGCTTTTGGGGGCCACTTAACTTACTTATTTTTGCCCATACTGGGGATTGAACTCAGAGCCTTTGCACTAAGCTACATCACCAGCCCATTTTTATTTTTTTATTTTGAGATAGGGTTTCCATAAATCCCCAGGTTGCCTGGGTTTGAATTTGCAATCCTCCTGACTCAGCCTCCCAGAAAGTTGGGATCACACATTTTTGCTGCCACACCTAGCCCCGAGGGAGGGGAGTACATTTTAGATAAGTACCATAACAATACAGGCCTGGAAGGTTGAGGAAATAGGATTTCAAATGCACACCCAGCCTGGGTGAATTAGCAAAGCCCTTCTCAAAATAAAAAATACAAAAGGGCTAGGTGTGGTGGTTCACGCCTATAATCCCAGCCCTGAGACTGAGGCAGGAAGATCGTAGGGAGTTCAAGGCCAGCCTGAACTACACAGTGAGTTTAAGACTAGTTTGAACTACATAGCGAGACCCTGCTAAAATAAATAAATAAAACTAAAAAAGGGGCTGAGGGTATAGCTTAGTGTGAAGGCCCTCAGTTCAATCATCAGTACCACAAAAATAAATGAATTAAATGTTGAAAGGGCTGGGGATGTAGCAGTGCAAAGGCCTTGGGCTCAGTCCCCAATACTGAGGAGACTAATGAAGGGTGTAGCAAGCCCTGGTCTGTGGGCATCCCCTTCCTGGCTGTTATGCCCCCTGGGTAAGTACCCTGAGACCATGTGTTGGGGGATGGGAAAGGATACTGTTTCACCGGTCCCCTTTCTCTTTACCTCACAGGGGAGCAGCCGCTCACTGGGGCCTACACAGTGACCCTGGATGGACAAGGGCCCTCAAGGGTCATCTCCAAACATGACCTGGGCCACTTCATGCTGCGCTGCCTGACCACCGATGAGTACAATGGGCACAACACCTACCCCTCCCACCAGTATGACTAGGCCCCTCACCCTGGCTGGGAGGATGGCATTCTGAAAAAGGAGGCACAATGAAGGGAGCAATAAATCATGAGCTACCAGCTTCAGTTTTTTTACACACCACCTGACCATGTGACTCTTCATCTCTGCCTTTGAGGAGTTCAGTGTCTGCATACGATTTTCTGGGTACTCATTTGTTCAATAATAGTTTAGTGAATCCTCTTCTGTGCCCAGCCCTGTGCTTTGAGCCCAGTGGTGGCCAAGTGTGTCAGTCACCTTCTCACTCCTGTGAACAAAATACCTGAGAAAAACAATTTAGAGGAGTGAAAGTTTATTCTGGTTCACAGTTTCAGAGGGTTCAGTCTATAGTCACCTGGCTTCATTGCCTCTAGTTTGGTGGCAAAGCAGAAACCTGGCAGAGGAAAGCTCCCCACTTCATGGCAGCTAGGAAGCAGGGGGCGGGGGGAACGACACAGATCAGATTTAGTTTCCAGTGTCAGACCCCCATGATCCATTCAACTGGGCCTCACCTCCCACTTCCATCACCTCCCATAAGGTTATCAAATCATGATCTCACCCGTGGATTAATGTACTTGTTGAAGTTAGAGCCCTTCATGATCCCAATGCTTCCCCAAAGGTCCATTAGCTGGCAACTGAGCCTTTAGTAGAGTCCGAGAGGTACCCCTGAGAGTGACAACTCAGAATGGCCAGAGCTCTGATATGGAGAGCAGGTAGGGCTGTGGTAGCACACAGAGGGTACCTGACCCAGCCTGAGGGGTCTAAAGCTTTGTGGAAGAAGGGTGTATGTTCAATCTGAAGCTTCGCTTATTAAGAATGAGCCAAGAGAAGGTTCTAAGGCAGGATAGTGTTCTAGGCAGAAGAAACAACATGGACAAAAGCCAGGAAGCTGGAAAGCACATAGCTTGTTTTTATGTGTATGTTTTTTTTCCTTTCTTTTTGGTGGTACTGGGGATTTGAACCCAGAGCCTTCACACTGAGCTATTTCCCCAATCCCTTTTTTATTTTAAAACGGGATCTTGTTAAGTTTCCCAGACTGGGCTCAAATTTGCTATCCTCCTGCCTCAGCCTCCCAGAGTGTTGGGATTACACATGTGTGCAACCATGCCCAGCATTTTATTGTTGTTGTTTTGAGACAGGGTCTCACTACAACAAACAAAAATCTCCAAAGCCTCCCTAGTCCAGGCTGATCTGGAACTCAATCCTCCTCCCTTGGCCTCTCAGGTGCTTGGATTCCAGACTCTGTGCCACCTCACCCAGCTCAGGTTTGTGTTTTATAAAGCTTCCCTCGACTACTGTGTAAAGGTCGATCAGAGGGAGACAAGTGAAAGCTGGGAGTTCCAGATCAAGGCAGGGGCCTTGAGGAGCACCAAGGGGTGGGAGGACCCCTCTGGACAGTTTGGGAAAGGGGACAGAAGCATCTAGAAGAAACCCAGAGAGAAACTCCATTAAGCCTCCTCCATCCTTGGCTGGGGTGTTGCTCAGTGGTAGAACACTTACTTGCCTAACATGTTTGAGGCCCTTGGTACCATCCCAGCACACACACAAAAAACAAAAACAGGAACTTCCTCTTTCTAGCAGTAGATGGAGAAGCCATCACCCCTCCCCTTAGGGAACATTTTATGGGGCTGAGGCTGGGCATTGCTGGTGTGGCCTTTCATAACACCAGCAGTGTTTTATCTCTGCCTTCTTTATTTCTCTGCCACATTGAGCATTTCACCAACTTTCATTGAGTATATGCTCAGCATCCAGCCCTGTGCTAGGTGTTCTGAGAACAAGCAATAGTGGAGTAAGACAACCTGTCCTCAGGGGGCCACAATCCAGAAGTGACTGCTCCTGGAGGGTATAAGAGAGGCACCAGAGCCACAGGAGGCCAGAATGCATCCTAACCCAGGAAGGGTTTCCGGAAAAAGGAAGGCCTTGGAGACAGAGTCCTGTGTAGAGCAGCCTAGGAATTAAGGGAACATTTTCAGGATGAGGAAATAAGTTTAAGACCCAGAGGCAGTTCATTCTCAATTCTGAGTACTTGCTGTGGACCTGGCCATGTTTTAGACACGGAGGATAAGACACTGAAGAAAACAGTATCTTGGTGTTCCTTGGGAGGGGGTAGGGCTTTGGAGTGTTTGTTTTTGTCTGAGACAGGCTCACTTTATAGTTCAAGCCAGCTTTAAATCCACTTTGTACTCCAGCCTCCTGAGTGATGGGATTGCAGATATGCACCACCACACCCGGCTACGTGGAGTCATTTTAGAAAAAATAAAAACAGAGCCGGGCATGGTGCTGCACGGCTGTAATCCCAGCGCTGGGGAGGCTGAGGCAGGGGCATCACCGAGAGTTTGAGATCAGCCTAGGCTCAATAGCGAGTTAAAGGCCAGCCTGAACTTGACTCTGTCTCAAAAAAAAAAAAATTAGAAAAAGTGAATACCCATTAGACAGCAAGGAGAGCACGACGGGCCAGATCTTTAAAGGTTTTGGGGCAAAAGTAAGGAGTCTGGACAAAGGCCATCCCCCCTAAGAGTGGGAGAATGGGGTGTCGGGGGACCCAAAAAGGGTCACTTCAAACTCTTGACTAACCCTCAGTATTAACAAGGGGACCAGCCTTAAGGGGGCGGGGCGGGGCTGCGGTCGCCCAGGCAACACAGGCCGCGCCAAACAATTGGCTAGCCTTTATAGCTGCGTCACCCTCAGAGCCGCTCACCCCCGAGTGGTTGGGGGAAAAGGGGCAAGCCTGAGGGTCTTGCTTCGCGGCGAGGTCCAAGCCTGGTATAAAGAGGACGGAGTAAGCAGTCCTGAAGAAATGTGAACGAGGATTGTAACTGAGTCGAAGGAAGAGGTACAGACCGGCCGTCACTCTCCACCCTGCAGACGTAACCCGGCCCCCAACAGGTCCGAATCCTTTAAATGGTCCCGGGCGTTGGGCGGAGAGGGCGGGTCGCGAGGCGCCCGGCGTCCGGCCATGGCTCCACCCAGCCAATAGGCGCCCCGCAGTGGCCAGGACTCCAGCCAATCGCGGCCCGCAGCTCGGCTCCGGGGCGGAGCTGGGTGGCTGGAGGCCAGACCGAGAGGCCCTGGGGAGGTGAGTTAGGTTCCTTCCCAGCCCCGGTGGGTCGCGACTCTGCAGGCGTTCCCGGAGGTGGTCGCTGCAACCTGGCCGCTGAGGTAGGAGTGGCCACCTACCTGTCTTGGGATTTACCTTGGGTAGGGGAGAGGTGGAGGCGTGCCCCGAGATTGGCGGAGGCAGGGTCTGGGAGGGAGTGGAGGCGCAGATTAAGGGTGACGGTAGATGGTTTGGACTCTGAGGACCGGAGGCAGATTCTGAGGTTTGGACGCTAGAAGAGGCGGGATAGTCCAGTGGAGGGAACTTGAAGCTGAGAATGGGGCGTTTGGAGAAGCGAGAGAAACCCGCGAAGGAACTTTTGGGGCAGGGAATCTGAAGATTAAAACAATTTGAGTCTTCCCGACGGCCTGAATTCGGGGCTCCATAGTGTTGCGGATTCCGTACATTTGGAGACACCAAGAGAAGCAGAGTCGAGGAATCTTTGACTCCAAGACGCCGCGGTAGAGAGGGGCTGCGGGGAGAGTTCAGTGTTCGGGTCTTGGAGGCAGACAGGGAGTTTGGAAGTGAAGTCCATGGCATTTAAAAGTAAGAAAAATAGTTTGGAGGGTCCTAATTAAAGATACCTTGTCTCCCCATCGGGGAAAGATGAGAGAACGTTGTTCGGGCTTGAGTGATATGTTAGGTCTTAGGTCTGTGGACCCGAGGGCAACTTGGGGAAGAATCTCAGATTTTCAGGGCTCTTACGGAACCGGGAGAAAGCAGATTTAGGGCTGGAGTAAGGTGGGGGAGGGGTGTTCCGGGTGTGGAGCTCAGACCCGCGGCCCGGGAGGCAACAGAGGGCGGGGCTCGGCAGGGGCCCGGCTGCTGAACGTCCGTGTTCCCTGCCCCCACCATCTAGGCCCCCTGTGCGCATGCTCTAAGAGAGGGCGGGGGAGTTCTGTGCGTTTAGAGAGCGGGCCCCTCTGGGAATTGTAGTGCTTGCACGAAGCAGGTGCATGTAGTTTGCGGCTGTAGGTCCACATTTCCCAGAAGCCCCAGGGCCAAATTAGGGCGTTCCCGGGTGCTAAATGCAGAGGCCCAGAGAAGGGCGGGGCCTGTGAGACTCTGACAAATGGTTGGGTCAGGCGGGGCTTGGCGTTAGTTGAGTTCTAGCAAGTTTTCCTGTGGGGCACCCTTTGAGGGAAGCTGAAGGCTTGGATGGAAGGAATGAGGAAGGCCCCTTTCATGCTTTTGGGAGCTATCCCAGTTAAAGAAGAGAGCATGGACAGAAATACCCTTTCTGTAAAAGAAAGAAAAGAAGGTCCTCGTAAAGAAGCGACTCAACGCTCTTAACAGGGCGCCAGTGGCACCAATATGTTAGGCACTCAATAAATAAAACTACTGAATGAATGAATAAAAGGCAATTAACTTGTTCATTAAGCACTTGCTGTGTGCTGTGCCCTGTGGATGTTAAACGCGGCATCTCCTTGGCGATGCTGTGCGAAGTATTTTTACAGTCCCCATTTTACAGATGAGGAAACAGGCCCAGATAGGTGATGTCATGTCACTGGTCAAGACCACACAGCTGAGCAGTGCCCAAAGCTGAATTCAAACCCAGGATCCCTGCTTCTGGCCCAGGTCTCTATACTCCAGATCTGTCTCTTGGGTGATGTGGTTGAAGAAATGAGTTTTATGGAAGAGCAGTTTTAAGACTAGGAGGGACTTAAGATCTTTACTTTGCAAATGAAGTGGAGTCTCATGGATGTAAATTCACTATTTGAGCCCACAAAAGGCAAAAAAGAGGGCTTTAAAAGCCGAGCTATGTACTCCACATCTTGCTTTTGTTGTTTTTTCAGTGCTGAAGATCAAACGTAGAACTTCACATTTTACATCTTTTTTTTTTCTTCTATTTTTTGTGGTACTAAGGATTGAATCCAAGGCCTTGGCATTGACCTACATCCTCAGCCCTCTTTTTATTTTTATTTAGAGACAGGCTCTTGCTAAGTTACTGAGTTGCCCAGGCTGGGTTTGAACTTGTGATCCTCCTACCTCAGCCTCCCAGAGTGCTGAGACTACAGGTGTGCACCACCACACCTGGCTGCCTCTTGTTTTCCCTTTTTTTTTTTTTTTTGGGTACCGGGGATTGAACTCAGATCTTGAGATTTTCAAGATTTCAAGGCAGGTGTGGGAATCATTGAACTAAGTCTCCAGCCCTGCATCTTGTTTTCTTAATTACACATTTACTCACCTCCTCAGCCTGTAGGATTCAGACTATCTGCATTTTATATAGATGAATATACAGAGGTTCTTGTAGTTAAAGATCACCCACAGCTATACAACCTTGTCTAAGAAAATGGGATGTGGGGCTGGGGATTTAGCTCAGTGGTTCCAGCGCCTGCTTCGCTAGTGCAAGGACCCGAGTTCGATCCCTGGTACCAAAAAAAAGAAAATGGGATGTGAATGACCCTATGTCCCACTTTCTTTCCCCCTTGTCTTCCTAGGGCATCATGGTGGGAGGGTTGAAGAGGAAACACTCTGATTTGGAAGAGGAGGAGGAGGAAGATGGGAAGTGGGACTGGAGTCCAGCAGGCCTTCGGAACTGCCAGCAAGCCCTGCTCCGAATCTCCCTAGACAAAGTCCAGCAGCGCAGCCTGGGTCCCCGAGCACCTAGCCTCCGTCGACACGTCCTTATCCACAACACCCTGCAGCAACTCCAGGCCTCCATACACCTGGCTCCAGCACCTGTCCTGCCTCCTGAACCCCTCTTCTTGGGCGAGGAGGATTTCTCCCTTTCTGCCACCATTGGCTCCATCCTCAGGGAGCTGGAGACCTCCATGGATGAGACAGAGCCACCTCAGAATCCAGTGGCTCCCCCAGGTCTCCAGAATGAAGTGCTGCCCCAGCCTGATCCAGTCTTCTTAGAAGCTCTGAGTTCCCGGTACCTGGGGGACTCCAGCCTGGATGACTTCTTTCTGGACATTGACACTTCTGCTGTGGAAAAGGAACCTGCACTGGGCCCCCCAGAGCCTCCACATAGCCTTTTCTGTGCCCCAGGGTCCTGGGAGTGGAATGAACTCGATCACATCATGGAAATCATTCTGGGGTCCTGAAACTGATGGAGGGGCCCTTCCTCACATCAGCCGTGATGGGCTAGATCCTAGATGAAGCTTTCAAGAGTGTGTGTGAGAGAGAGAGTGTGTGTGTGTTGGTGGGGCCTCTAGTGACTGGCCTCCTTTCCTCCCATTTCAGGGTTCCACAAACTGTCTTGCATGTGTGTGTCTGGTTACCCCAGCCTTCTGTGAAGGTGGATCTTCCTGATATAATTTATCTGTTCCAAATGCCTTAAAGGGGCTCCTTTTCTGGGAGTCTGAGTTCTCACATGTTTCTTCTGCCTTTTCCTTCCAGTTCCCACTCCCCTTGTGACCACTGAGGCCTCAGGGAAGATTGAAGCTGGGCCTGTCAGAGGTTGACAGGGGTGTGCTTCCAGGTTGCTCTGGAAACCCAGGCTCCTGTCTCTTGAGGGAATGATAGGGGCTGGTCTCCTCCCCACAGGGTGAACCCCACTTCCTCAGCAGGACCTCAGTCCCAGCAGCCTCCTGATTCATAACCAGGCCGGACCATGTGCAATAGGGTGGAAACCAAACTGCTCCATGCCGCATTATTTAAAAGAAAGGCAGGGTTTTTGGTGGCTTTTGTTTGTAAATTTTTTTTAAATAAAAGTATTTTGGAAGGAGTGTTGTTGCACTAAGTGGCTGATGTTCACTGGGGCAATGAGAGGGACCTGGTAAGTTTCCTAGACATCTGTACCCTTTCCCTGCTGAAGGTGGGGTAGATATAAACACTAAACACTGTACATGACAGTTATTGAGGAGTCCTATCTGCCGGATGTGGTGGCACACACCTGTAATCCCAGCACTTGGATGGCTGAGCCAGGAGGATTGCCTCCAGCCTCAACTACAGTGAGTCCTTTTTTGTTTTTGTTTTTTATTTGGTACGGAGAATCAAACTCAGGGCCTCACATTTTCCAGGCTGGCGCTGCACCTCTGAGCTACATCCCTGGACCTACACAGTGAGTTTAAGGCCAGCCTGAACCACATAGCAAGAAAAGTTTCAGAAACGCCAGAAAAAGAAGAGTCCTTTCTCAACCCCAGTATGGTGGGGCAGGCCTGTGATCCCAGCACTCTGGGAGTCTGAAGCCCAGTGAGATACTGTCTCAAAAAAGGGCTGGGGATGGAGATGTAGCTCTGTACAAAGGCCCTGGGGAAAAAGCACAAAGAGACTTGCATTCCAAGATGGATGTCAGTTGGATCACATCTTCCTCTTTTTTTTTTTAAGGGTGGCAAAGTTTTATTAGCGGTAGGAAAAGAAACAGGCTCTACAGAGGCAGTTTGGGCAAAGGAAAGTATATCCAATGGGGCGAGGGCAGGCCACATGTAAGAACATACACTGGCCCCTCCAGCAATTTCTTATCCCACTCAAAATTCCAACTGCAAAACCAGGTGTGGTGCCACACACCTGTAACCTCAGCACTTGGGAAGCGTGAGGCAGGAGGGTTGCCATGAGTTTGAGGCCAGCCTGGGCCCCATAGTGAATTCAAGGCCAGCCTGAACTGCATAGCGACACCCTGCCTCAAAAAACAAACTCCAGGCCGGGGATTTAGCTCAGTGATTCCACCACCTGCCTCCCAAGCCCAAAGACCAGAGTTCAATCCCCAGTACCAGAAAAAAACCAAACTCAAACTGCACCAAGGCCTGACTTACCCTTGGTCCTGACAACTTCCCCAGCTCTGGCTCCCACTCTGCTCCATGCAACTGTAGTCCTGCTGGTCTCCTAGGACTCAAGTCCTTTCCTCTCTGGGGCCTTTGCATTTGCTGTGAAGTCTGCCCAGAGGCTGCTTCCCTCATAGCTTCAATCCCCATCCATGTCCCTCCCTTCCTAGCTCATGGTGCCCAGAGGCTCCACAACTCCATTACATCCTGTTTGATTTTCTTAGCAGCACCCATTCAATCCCAGGTTACTTATTACCCGTTTATGGAGCAGAGGGGTGGTGTGCTTTGCCCCGCTGTCGCCACCCCCCAGTGCCTAGGGTGATGCTGGGCACAGGCAGGTGCTCAAAAATTATTTGCTAGAAAAAATGTACTCCAGACCTTACAATGGCCACCCCTGTCCCCCATCTCTGAACTCACCTTCAATGCACACCCTCGCTGCTGTGCCCTGCTGCTCCATTCCCTGCCGTTTGTTTCTCAAGTGCCATCATCTCTCAGCCTCTGGGACCTAGATGGAGTTGTACCTGCCTCAGGGAGCTAGGTGTGCATGGTGCCTAAGAGGGGCCATGGAGCATACCAAGGGTGTCTACAGGGTTCACACAACTTTGTGCCCACTGTGGGTCTAGCACTGTGCTAGTAGGTGAGCAAATAAGCCTTGTTCTTAAACCAGGCGTGATGGTGCACACCTGTCACCCCAGCACTCAGGAGGCTGAGGCAGGAGGATCGCCATGAGTTCAAAGCTGGTCTGGGCTACATGGTGAGTTCAAGGCCAGCTTGAACTACATAGTGAGACCCTGTCTCCAAAAAACAAACCTCGTTCTCATGAAGTATGATCATGGGGCAAAACTAAAATTACCACAAAAAGGGCCAGGGATTTAGCTCAGTGGTTTCGCCACCTGCTGCACAAGCACAAGGACCCGAGTTCGATCCCCGTACCAATAAATAAAATAAATAAATAAAATAAAATTACCACAAAAAAGAAGTTGAAATGTACAGTCAGGTGGTGATAAATGATTGATTGGAGACAAAGCTGGGAAGTGATGGGAGTGAGTTTTGCTATTTAGAAGAGACGGCTAGAGAAGGCTTCACAGAGGTGACATTAGGGAAAGACGTGGAGGACATAAGGGCCAAGCCCTGTGGATCTCTTGGGAATAGCCCAGGTAGCGCAAACGGCCAGTGCAAAGGCCCTGAGGAGCCCAGGTTGGCTGGAGCAGAGATAGCAAGTTTGGGGGAGGATACCAGGAGATGAGGCCTGGAGAGGCGAGGGGCACATCCTGCAGGGTCTAGAGGGGGTCCCTCCGGACAACTTTAGCTTTGCCCTCAGTGAGCCGGAAGCCACACTGGGGGAGGGAGGGTGTTCTGCAGAGGAGGGATGTGACCTGACTCACCGTTTTCTTAGAACTCTCTGACTTCCCTAAAATAGCCAAGAGAAGGGGAATGGGGAGCTGGTTAGTACCCCCGTGAAGCCAGCTCCTAGAAGGGCACCCCCACTTTCCAGCTCCTTCCCTAACGTCGCACCTGTTAAAGAAGTGGAAAGCCCGGTCCCGCAGAGGGAACCGAGGCCCTCGGGGCAGAGTCCACGGTCCCCAGTCCCCAGCCCGCCCTCCCGCGCCGCCCGTGGGGGATGGGCCGCTGTCTGGGCGAGGCGCGAGGCTGGCCCCGCCCACCTGCCCACCTGCCCGCCCCGGCGGCCGCCCGCCACCCTGGGCCGCCGGCCACACTCGGCGGGAGACAGCGGCGGCGGCCGCCTGGAGCCGGCCTGGCGCCTCCTCCCTCCCCAGGGGCCGGGCGGGGCGGGGCGGGGGGGGGGGGGGGGGGGGGGGGGGGCGGGGCGGGGCGGGGCGGGGCGGGACGAGGGAACGCTCCCCTGGCCGCCCTTCCTCCCTCCCTCCCCGGCTGGCGGAGGCTCCCGCTCTGGCCCGGCCTGGTGACTTCGCTTCTGGTTTCATTTCCCAAGGCTCAGCCTCTCTCTTTCGCCCTCCCCCCAGCCTTTGAATTCCTGGCTCCTTCTCCCCCCCGTTTTTTTCCTTCTCCGCTTTCTGGTCCCCCAGCTCCAGTGTCACCGCCTCACAGAGACTCCCTGAGACCACCCTGTCTACAAGTACTCTCTCCAGGCCTATCATCCCATCTTTGTTTTCTTCAAGTCACTGAACACAAGCAGAAATTGACATTCTTATTTATTCATCTTCCAGGAGCTTCTCCTCTCACTTTGGAGGGAGAAAGTCCACAGAATGATCTAGAAGGCCTGCATACTTCTCTGGTCTCCTCTCCAGCAGCTCCCAGTTCAGTCTACCTGGCCTTGACAAAGACAACGGCACCTCAGGGCCCTTGGACTGCCTCTTTTCACATTCTTGCTCCTTTTGCTACCTCACTCCATTCATCAGGCCTCTGCTCAGACGTCACCTCTTCAGAGAATCCCTTCCCTCCCCACAGTTGCACATCTTTTTATTAGTCCCCTCCCACTTTCCTTTATTCTTTTTCTTTGCTGAGCTCCTAAAATACTTTGTAATTTTCTTAATTTTATTGTCAATTTTCTACCAGGAGAGGTTTGTTTTTTTTTAAGACAGGGTCTTGTTGTGTAGCTCATGCTGGCCTTGAACTCTTGGTGATCCTCCTGCCTCAGCCTCCCTAGTGCTGGGATTGCAGGCCTACATTACTACACCTAGCAAAGGATTTTGATCTATAATCTCACTACCATATATCTTCAGTGCCCCAAAATAGTATCTGGAATGTGAGGGTGATCTAACTGCGACATCTATCACCCCATTGATCGTCACAGTTGATTTGGCTGATCTGGCTGGCTAGGCAGGTATCCCCTTCCTCCCTCATCCCTCGGTGTTTGTCCCTCCTGAGCTCCCTCTGTGGAAGAGAACAACCACCCTGGATAGAGAAGGACCCTTTCCTCGGTCCAGGGTATAGGAATAGCTGCACTCCCCTGCTAGAACCTCTGAACAAGTTCCCCAAAAGAATATCTGGGACACAGAAGGGGCTCTGTGTGAATGTCTGCAGATCAATGGATACATTAGCTCTCAAATTTCTTTTCTCTCCACACCTTCCCCATGTACATGAGAGGAGAGACCATGTGAGGTCTATCCAGTGCGGCACCCCTGTTGTCTACACAGCACCCAACCATAATGAATGTTCAGTGAGTGCATGTTAATCAAGTGACTTGTAGGAGTCACTTGGAGACGCTGAGATTATGTGCATTTGCCTAGTGAGACTGGTTCAAATTAGCACTCCCTTCCATTCTGAGGACTGAGTCCAGGGCCTTCTCCTTGACCTACATATTCGGCCCATTATTAATTTTTTCTGTTTAACTTTTCTTTGGTACCGGGGATCAAACTCGGGTCCTTGCGCTTTCGAGACAGGTGGCGGAACCACTGAGCTAAATCCCCAGCCCCCATTATTAATTTTTAAAGCTGAGCAACTGGGCTCGAACTTTCAATCCTCCTGCTTCAGCTTTGAAATTCATATTCATTTTCTCTCTCCTTCTCTCTCTACCCCCGCCCTTCTTTCCAGTCCTGCTGGAGACTGAACCCAGGATCCTATCCATGCTAGGCAAGTGCTCCACCACTAGAGCTACAACCTTAATCAAGACATCTCATAAGAAAAACCTCAGTGTGGTAGCACACACTTGCAATCCCCACACTCTGGGAGGCTGAGACAGGAGGATCACAAGTCAATCCCAGCCTGGGCAATTTAATGACTTAGTGAGACCCTGTCTCAAAAAATTTAAGAACTAGGATGTAGGTCAGTATGAAGGTCTTGGGTTGGATCCCCAGCACAATAAATAAATAAGTATCAACCACAACACTAAGCCAGGTGTGGTGTCACACACCTGTAATTCCAGCACTTGGGAGGCTGAGGCAGGAGGAGTGACATGAGTTTGAGGCCAGCTTGGGCTACATATTGAATTCAAGGACAGTCTGGACTACATTATGAGACCCTGTCTAAAAATAAACAAGAGGCTGGGGATTTAGCTCAGTGGTTCTCCCGATTGCCTCAAAAGCACAAGGACCCAAGTTCAATCCCCAGTACCAAAAAACAAACAAACAAACAAACAAAAAACCCCCACAACACTATTTCACATATCACAGAATTAAGAATTCCATACCATGGGCTGGGGATTTAGCTCAGTGATACTTAGCTCAGTGATTCCGCCACCTGCCTCGAAAGGGAGAGGTCCCGAGTTCAATCCCCAGTAACAAAAAAAAAAGAATTCCACACCATCTGAGTCCAGTGCATATTCAAATTTCTCCTAGAATATCAATTGACACAAGAGTATCTTTTGCTGGCTTCAAAGTCCTGACCTCATTCGATCTTCCCACTTTGGCCTCTTGAGTAGCTAGAACTACAGGTGTGTGCCACTGCACTCAGCAAAAATATCTTTTATAGGGCCGGGGATTTAGCTCAGTGGTTCTGTCACCTACCTTGCAAGCACAAGGACCTGAGTTGGATCCCTGGTACCAATATATATATATATATATATCTTTTATAGTTGCTTTCCTTTCCTCAAAAATCAGGATCCCATGAAGGTTCACATGATAACTTGGTTGCAATGAAGAAATTATATAGTAATTTTTATTCTAGAAAAACATCAACCCCTCCCCATCTCTTTTTGTGTTGTCTTGTCATCAAATTTCTGGCAGAATAGTGCTGTTGTGTTATAGGATGTCCCACATTTTGGGTTTGTCTGTGTTAATTTGTTCTTCTCTTCGATGGTGGTGCATGCCTGTAGTCCCAGCACTCAGGAGGCTGAGGCAGGAGGATCATTGCCTGTTCCAGGTCAGGGTGGACTATATAGTGAGCTCAAGACCAGCCTGAACTGCAATAATGAAACCCTGTCTCAAAAAAACAAACAAGGGCCAGGGATTTAACTCAGTGGTTCCAGCGCCTGCCGAGCAAGTGCAGGGTCCCGAGTTCGATCCCTCGTACCAAAAAAAAACCAAAAACCCAAAAAAACTCCCAACAGACAGGGTGGGGATTTAGAGTGTAAGGTCCTGAGTTTGATCCCCGGTACCAAAAAAACCAAAGAAACAAACAAAAATTGTTCCTATTTTCTGTAAGATGGCAGATGAGTCTAGATTCTAGAAGCCTGATGAGATTCAGTTTATGCAACTGAACAGGGAGACTACAGGGAAAGTTGTGTATGCCCTAATAGATTATAGCAGGATGTCCCACCATTGGTGATGTCACATCATAAAAAGATATTTATTTTCTGCTTTGCAGTTAGCAAGTAACCTTTGCAGTGATGCTTAGAGCCTGTCAAGACCCACTCCCCACTAACTTCTCACCCAAAGGTTGGAGCATCCATTGATAGTCTCTACTTGAATCAACCACAACAGTGAGCACTTTTGAGAGCTCTGGCCGGAAACTTCACTTGCAACTAACAGTTCTTTCCATAGCTCTGGGGTTAGAAATCTACTTGAAGAAGGTAAATTCCATTGCTAGTTTATCAGAACATATTAAACTCCTGTTTTATCTACCTCTAGCACCATCCAGGGTATCTTCCCATTTTGAATTAAGCACTCATGACTGGTGTTACAAAGGCATATATTGCACATTACCCTGAATTTTTGTTTGTTTGTTTGTTTGTTTGAGACACTGGTCTCAATTAGTAGTTCAGGCTGTCCCTGAACTCACTATGTAGCCCAGGCTGGCCTCAAACTCTCAGCAATCCTCCTGCCTCAGCCTGTGGAGTGCTGGGATTACAGACATGCGCCACCACGCATGGCATACCCTGAATATTTTGCACAAATTGTTTCATTTAATCTTTTTTCTTTTCTGTTTCTTGCTTTCTTTTTCTTTTCTTTCTTTCTTTTTTTTTTTTTTTGAGACAAGGTCTTGCTATGTAGTTCAGGCTGGCCTTGAACACAGTATGTAGCCTAGGCTGGCCTTGAACCCACAGCAATCCTCTTCCCTCAGCCTCCCAAGTGCTGGAATTACAGGCCTGCACCATCAGGCCTGGAACCCTTGTTAAATTTTGAGACAAGTCTCACTAATTTGCCCAGGCTAGCTTTGAACTTTCGATTCTCCTGCCCCACCCTTGAGAGTAGCCCGGCTTATAGGCTTGTGCCGCCACACCTCCTTTTAAAGGATTAAAATACTTCCCCAAGGTCACACAGCTGTTTAGGGAATGGAGCCCAAGATGTGACCCGGTGACTTCCCACCCGCACCTCACCCCCCATCTTTAACCACAACTGAGTCCAACTGTCCAGCATTTGCTGCCTGGTATACGCATGCACTCTTACTCTTAAATTTCCTAACCCTCCAGTGGCAGGCGAGAAGAGTCCCTCTGGACAGAATTTGTGTGGCTGAGAAAGCTCCGGCGTTGTTTGTTTGTTTTTGAGACAATGTCTTGCTCTGTAGTTCAGGCTAACCTTGAGCTCACTAGTAGCCTGGGCTGGCTTCAAACTCGGGGCAATCCTCCTGCCTCTGCCTCTCAAATGCTGGCATTACAGGCGTGCGCCCCAAGCACTGTTTAGCTCCAGAGTTTTTCCAAGGTCACATCGAGTGAGTGGTAAGAGAGGATCTGAATCCACGTTTATCTGGCCTAGAGCGTAAATCTCTGCTGAGGCTAAGTATGTAAGAAGCTCCACTGCTGTGTTTGGCAGGTATCCAGGGACTGTACTTTGAAAACCCAAAAAGCTCGTACCCACCACCGTCCCACACGGCAAACAGCCACTAGTCTTCCCCACTTCACTACTGCAGTTGCCAGGACATGCGCCCGGAAGCCATCCTCCCCTCCCTTTAAATCAGCCCGTCCAGGCTCCGCCCATCCCCGCCCAAGGCCAATCCCTAGAGTGGAGGGCGGGGCAGCCACGCGAGTGGGCGTGGCTAAGGGTAGTCAGCAGTCTGGAGTCGTGCGCCGGAGTCAGAGCTGCGTTTCCCGACCCAAGCGCCGGTTGTTGAGGGAGAGCTACAGAGCGATGCTGCCCCTGCCGCTTCCTGATTGGCTGCGGGTGGCTACTTCTTTGTTCTGATTGGCAGCGAGTGAGCTGGGTATGTAAATGAAGGGGCCTTGGGGGAAAAGGGGTACCGGCAGTCGGGTTCTTGCCGTGTTCGATCCTCGGGTCAGGCTGGAGGATCGCCTGGGCTGCCCGGTATCGAGACGCTCCAGGCCTTTGCGTGCCGCTCGCCCGGGCCGGGCCGGGTGAATCACGCTGCAGCCCGAGAAGGGGGCGGAGGCCCCTGCTCCTTGGCTCCGACTGCGTGACTCACCCGCCCCCGCCACCGCCGCTGCCTTCCGGAAGCGAGAGGAGGCTGGAGAGCAGAGCGGCCTGATGGGGTCTAGGCTTGAGCCGCTCCGGGCGGGAGGCAGGAAACCTAGGCCGGACGCGGGGCTATGTAAAGGATCCCGGGGTCAGAGGGACTGTGATCCTCGGGGGAAAGCCGGCTGGGGTGCCGCTAGGGGGCGCCAGGACCGGGGCGGGGGGCTGAATTCCTGCGGTTCCGGATCCCGGGTCTTCTGGATGCGGGCAGTGGATCGCTTTTACGGTCTGACTTGCTAGGCAACGTCCCGGGAACTGGCCCTGCGGTCTTCCCGGCCCCCCAAAGTAGATTGAACCAGGGCTCCAAAGCTCTAGGTCCTCTCCTCCGCGGGAAGAGTGTAGATCCTCAAACTTCTCTCAGGGACTGGCCCCAGTGCCCATCAGGATTTCCCCGCAAACCTTGACCACTCCGTCTCCCGCCTAAGTTCTGAATCAACTTCCTTCCATTTCCACTGCCAGCTTCTGCTCTGGCCATCAGTGTCGCGCGTCGCAGGACAGCAGCCTCCCACTGGGTCTCAGCCTGCACTCCCGCTCCACTGTGGCCCCCAGCCCTGCCACCAGCCATCCTCTAAGCAGCCGAGGGGAATCCACTACAAACCTAAGAAGCTCACATCACCACTCCCCTCTCTGTTCAAACCCCTCAGTTTGTCCCTGCCGCTTGAAAACCCAACCTCCCTGCCTCTGCAGCCTTCTGCCCGCGCCCCACCCCCACTGGGACTCCTAGCGTGACACTCTGCGCAAGCCACACTGGGCCTTTTCAGTTCAGGCTTCTCCACTCCCTAGGTCTTTTTTTTTTTTTTGTACCGGGGATCGAACTCGGGCCCTTGGCTTGCGAGGCAGGTGGCAGAACCATTGAGCTAAATCCCCAGCCTTCTAGGTCTTTCTTTTTCTTTTCTTTTCTTATATGTTTTATTTATTTTTTAATTTTTATTTTTTAGGTACTGGGGATCGAACTCCAGTCCTTGTGCTTGCGGGGCAGGCGCAGGAACCACTGAGCTAAATCCCTGGCCCTCTTATATGTTTTTTTTTTTTTTTGAAGCAAGGTCTCACTTTGTAGTTCAGGCTGGCCTCAAACTTGAGATGATCCTCCTGTCTCAGCCTCCCAAGTGTGTGCGTCACCATGCCAGCTCTAGGTCTTTCTTTGTCATTGTTTTTGTTCCATCTTCCTGGAGTGCTTTTCCCCTGGTTCTTCATGGCTGACACCTCACACACCAGGTTTCACAGATCCAGTGTCACCTCCTTAGAGGAGCCTTCCCTCTCCATCTCCAGGACCTTTTGGTATCTTTCCATCCCTGGACACATTTCCTGTGTTCATTGTTGCTGTATAGTGGACCCTCAATAAACATCTGTATGGAACAGCTGCTTTTGTAAATTAAAAGGAAAAAGGTTGAATACTGGCCATTTTGGATGGTTCACTGAAGAAATAATATTTTTTAGTTTTTTGAGACGGGATCTCACTATATAGCCCGGGCTGGCCTTGAACAATCCTCCTGCCTCAGCCTCCCAACTGCTGGTTTTACAGGCATGCATCACCACATCAAGCAATAATATTATTAAGAGTACTTATAGCCTAGTGTGGTAGTACATATCTGTAATCCCAGCATTTGGGGGGCTGAGGCAGAAAGATCTTCGTGGGTTTGAGGCCACCTTGAACTACATAGTGAGACCCTGTTTCAAAAAGCTAAAAAAAAAAGTACTCTTATTAATAAGAGTAATTGCCATGTACCAGGCACTGTTGTAAGTGCTTTTTTATTTCATTTAATACTTAAAACAACTTATAAAGAAGATGTCGTCCTTCCTATCTTAGAAAATTTAGGCTCTGAGAGGTTAAATGACTTGCCCCAAATCATACTGACAGCAGTTGTCAAGGCCTGGGTGGGAATTTAATATTTTCTTTCCATAAATGTATGGCTTCTCCCTTTCTGCAGACAATGCTAAGCAAGGGTCTCAAGCGCAAGCGGGAGGAGGAGGAAGAGGAGGAGGAGGAGAAGGAAGCCCTAGAAGTGGATGCCTGGTGGCTGGATCCTGGCCACCCAGCAGTGACACAGGCACCCCCAAATGTGGCCTCCAGCTCCCTCTTTGACCTCTCTGTGCTCAAGCTCCACCACAGCCTGAGGCAGAGTGAGCCAGACCTGCGGCATCTGGTGCTGGTGGTGAACACACTTCGGCGCATCCAGGCGTCCATGGCACCCACGGTGACCCTGCCACCTGTGCCCAGCCCACCCTTAGTCCCCAGTGTGGCTGATAACCTGTTGGCCAGCTCCGACACCATCCTCTCAGCCTCCATGGCCAGTCTCCTCGAGGACCTCAGCCAGATTGAGGGTCTGAGCCAGGCCCCCCAACCCCTGGCGGATGAGAGCCCACCAGGCCGCCCAATTGGGGGAGCCCCACCCAGTCTGGGTGCCTTGGACCTGCTGGGCCCAGCCACTGGCTGTCTGCTGGACGATGGGCTGGAGGGCCTGTTTGAGGACATTGACACCTCCATGTATGACAGTGAACTTTGGGTGCCAGCCTCTGAGGGCCTCAAGCCTGGCCCTGAGGATGGGCCAGGCAAAGAGGGAGCTCCTGAGCTGGATGAGGCTGAGCTGGACTACCTCATGGACGTGCTGGTGGGCACACAGGCGCTAGAGCGGCCTCCAGAGCAAGGGCGCTGACCCCAAGGGTTGGGATGGTTGTCTGGCATCTGAACTGAGCCTGGTGTTTGGACCAGCCCTCCTTGGAAAGGACAGCCGGCTGCCCCAGCACAGAGACAGGGGCTTGGCCACTTTGGAAAGACAGAATCCAGTTCTGGGCAACTTCACATCCATCCTCTTGTGAAGGGGCCATGGAGGAATCTGGGATTGGCCCCTAGTGATGGAATGACAGGGCCTGATGGCTAGGATGTGATTGGGCCAGGCCCCATGCTGGACTGAATCCTCTGGCATCACAGTGGGGGCTATTCCTTTCCTGATTTGGGAAGAGACCTCAACCTGTTTTTTGAAATTAAAACCAACTCTGGAAAAATTTCAGGTCTGTGTGCTTGTTTGTCTTTGGCCAATGCCAGGGTGAAATATAACATCCAATACTTAGCCTGGACTGTGTAGCAGGCACTCTTCTAAGTGCTTGCTGTGTTTTAACCAGTTAATCCTGTAACAGCCCCACAAAGATGGGGATGATGATGAAGATCCTCACTTTACAGGTGAGAAAACAGACTTACAGGAGGAGAGGGTTTCAGATCATGGACCATGTACTGCCTCATTGGCCTGAGAAGCAGATAGTTCATCTGGCAACTAGCCCTACACTCCCCAGAGCACACGGCCAGGTTTCCTTACAGTGCCTGTGTGCATGTGACTCGACTCCCCAGGTCTCTTTTTAAAAATGAATCCAGTCCTTGCCTGGGTGTCCTGTGGAGAGGGAGAAGGAGCTTCCAGAATGGCCCAGAAATGAAAACAGAGATGGACAGAATTTCTCCAGGGAGCATAGAGTAAGCACTCTGGAAAGATGGTCAATGATCAAAGAGAGGGAGACACCCGCCAGTTTTTAAAAATAAAATCCACTCTCGGCTTCACACGCGTCCTGGAGCAAAGAATAAGGCAGCTTAGAGACCATCTCCAAAATAAAGCCACCTGGTTTGGTAGCTGGAGCTAAGAGGGCCGTCAGGGGCAGGCAGCTGGGTTTCCTTCTAGAAGAAACCCAGGCCCAGGCAAGCCGGGGCCACCTGCCTGGGGCCCTGTGCATAGGCCTGGCCGGAGCCGGAGTCTGCGTCCGCCCCCGCCGTCCAGCCGCATTCCTGGCCTGCTGGGCGGGGCGCGACACTCACAGGCCTGGCACGGGACCCGGCTGCGTCCTTCCTGGCGGCCGTGGGGGCAGGGCAGAGCCCGGGGTGCCCGGCGTGGGGGGGGGGTGTCTCAGCGGAGGTGGCCGGTGGGGGAAGGGAGGGGCGGAGGGCCGGACGGGCCGAGGCAGAGCAGCCTCCCCGGGGCAGGAAGCCCGGGAGCCGTGGCCGGCTGGGGTTGGGGGGCGGGGAGCCCGGCGCGGCGCCCGGGGCCGGGAAGGGGTGGGCAGAGCGAGCTTCCTGGAGCCGCGGAGGAAGTGGTGCCCATTTCTGGAAGTGCTGAGGGCGCCGGGACGGCGGGTGGAAAAGGCTGCGGGGAGCTGGTGCCCAGGCTGAGAGCCTTCCAGGCGCCAGATGCCAACCCCTGGCGACTAGTCCCATCCGTAGACTGAGGGACCGGGGCGCCTGAGCCCGAGACAGAGACCTCCGGAGCCTGGGCGGAGCTCGCAGCGCCCCCTGGTGCCCGGTCTAGGGCTCTGGTGCCCCCGCCTGGCATCTGTCCTGTGGGCCAGGGTCAGCGGTCATGTTACCCAGTGCTTGGGGACGATTCTGATGTCTCCAGGAGCCAACGTGGAACCTGCAGATGCAGATATCTACTATGAGTGAGACATGGTCAGATTTAACCTTTCACCTAGGCCCAGGCTCAAAAAGGTACTCAAGTTTTTGCTGAATGAGGAAAGGAAGAAAAGGAGAGAGGGAGTCCGGCTTTGAGGCTGGCACATGCCTGTAATCCCAGTACTCTGGGAGGCTGAGGCAGGCGGATTGCAAGTTTGAGCACAGGCTGGACAATATAGTGATTTAGAAAGCAACTATCTGAAAATAAAAAACCAAAAGGTCTGGGGAGGTAGCGCAGTACAAAACCCCTGCTTTCACTCCACCGGGACCACATAAAGAAATAAGTAAATAGGCGGGGAGGTAAAGCCCGCCAAGGGCAACAGGTCACAGCTCTCCCAGCAGTCAGGGAAAAGCGTGTTGGTGGTGGGGTTCCCGTGAATGCTGGGGGAGGGGAGCTGGGCCAGGGGTGTCACAGCTGGAAGACATAAAGGCTTTGTGGACTTAGGGAGCAGCTGAGCCAGGCTGGCAGTTCAGCTTGGAATGGTGTGGGCCCTGGAATCTGCTGGCTGAGGAGGCATGGTCTCCTGGGGTGGAGCCCACACCAGAGTCTGCACAACCATGGGGGTTGGACTTGGGGAGACCAGTAGGTCCTCTGGCACAAGCTGATGTAAGCCAGGGCCTATGTAGCCCATGTGGTACTTTGGTGCGAAAGACACGCCCTTTCCGCAAGGTGCTTGACCTCCAGCTAATGGGAAAGTGTCATCTAAATGGATGGCACCTGGGACATACCTCTTAACTATGGAGACGGTGTGAAGTGCACAACCTCTATAACGGGACCTAACTGGGGACAAGCAGGCCTAAGGAAAAATATGTTGGAGAAACATAGTGATTCAGTTGGGGATGTGGCTCAATGACACTGCACCTGCCTGGCAAGTGCAAGATCCTGAGTTTGATCAACAGTATGAAAGAAAGAAGGAAGGAAGGAAGGAGGGAAGGAAGGAAAGAAAGGAAAGAAAGAAAGAAAGGAAAAATCCTCTGAGAAAGAAAGAAAGGAAGAAAGAAAGGAAACAAGCAAGCAGAGAGAGAAAGAAAAATCCTCTGAGATGCTGTTGAAGCAGTGAGCTGTTATGCTTAAACAAGAAGAGGTTGTGCTTGAAAGCCAGACTGCCTAGGTTTATACCCTAGCTTTACCACTCTAGGGCTGTGTGCCTTCAGACAAGGTCCTTAACTTCTCTGGGCTTTGGAGTCCTAATCTGTAAACTGGAACAGTAGCAGTGTTCAATTTGCAGGGCTCTTGTAGGGGGAGGGGACAGCATGTGCAAGGGCCCTACAGTGTTTTTGGGAGTCTTTAAACTATTGAGTTTGGCTGGAATGAAGAGAAAAGCTGTAAGGTAATGGGATTGGAGGAGTCACTGGGGGCCAGGGCACACAAGACCCTGAATGGGGTCTTTGGAGCCAAGATGCTAGAGAGCTTCAAGGTAAAGGGACCCCTTCTGCTGCCAGGTGGGCATGGGGGAGAGTAAGTACAGAAGCCCAGGGGTGGGGAGCTGGGAAGGGAAGAGTAGGGAAGGGACACTGTGGAGGCCCCTGGACAGGGGCAAGTGAGGAAAGGAGGGAGGGGACAGTAGGTTGCCACCTGCGCCAGCTGTCAGGGGGACCCCTCCTTCCCCCACAGGACTCCTGGAGGACCCTGCACTGGACAGACACCAGGGGAGCAAGGGTGGCACCAACCACAGAGCCCCATGAGCCAAGGTGGAAGGGGAGGCTGGGCTCGAAGCAGGGGACAGAGGACAGTATGGCCAGCCCTGGGGTCAGGTCACAGGAATGAGCACAAGGCTGCAGGCCAGGGAGACCTCAGTTTCCCTGGACTGCACTGCCTGGGGCCCAGTAGTGGGCAGAGCCGGAGAAGCTGCTGTTGGCTCAGGCCGGGTCTGGAGAGGGCAGGCAATGGGGGATGCTTCCGCCTCCTTCCCCAGCCCCGCAGGATGTCCTGTGTTTACTGAGGTGGCCTTGTCCGGAACCAGGACACTGTGCCACCTTCTAAACTCAGCTTCCTGTGGCCACACCCCCTCGGGTGAGAGAAAACAAGGCAGAGAGAGGAACAGGATGGGACAGAGATGAGGACAGAGAGAAACTGAGACATTTCAATCTTGATAAACAAACAAGCCAAAAAACCCGAGTCAGAGAGCAAACCAGGAAAGAGAGCTTTCTTCAACTGATTAAGGGCATCCACAAGAAAACACAGCTACAGCTAGCATTTTTTTTTTTTTTTTTTTTGGTACCAGGGATCGAACTCGGGTCCTTGCTCTTGCATGGCAGGCAGCGGAACCACTGAGCTAAATCCCCAGCCCTAGCATTTTTTTTTTGGAGACACAGTCTCTTTATGTCATCCAGGCTGGCATGGAACTCCTGGGCTCAAGCAATAGTCCTGTCTTACCTTCCTGAGTATCTGGAATTACAGACAAGCACCACCATGCTGGACTTTTACATCATTTTTTTTTTCTTTCTTTCTTTTTTTTTTGGTACCAGGAATTGAACTCAGGACCTTGTGCTTGCCAGGTAGGCTTGGTGCCCCTGAGCTACATCCCGGCCCTTTAGCATCATTTTTATTTATTTTTTTTGCTTAGTACTGGGAATTGAACTCAGGTCCTTGCACTTGTGAGGCAGGCAGCAGAACCACTGAGCTAAATCCCTGGCCCCCTTCAGCATCATTTTTGTTTTTATTTTTTTGTGACAGGGTCTCAGTATACAGCCCAGGTGATCCTCCTGCCTCAGCTGCCCCAGTGTTGGGATTACAGGCATGTGGCACCATGCCTGGCTAGTCTCATATTATGGCCAAAACCCCTAAAACAAAAAAACCCTATACCACTAAATGCCTTGTTACAGATGGAACCAGCAAGGACCTCGCTGCCTGTGACGTGAGAAGGACAGTGAGTCCCACCCTCCCTTTTCTGTTTGGCCTTGAGCAGAGAGAGCAGGTTTTCTTCCCCTCTAGCCTGGTGCATGGTGCTCTGCATTGACCCTCCCATAGCTGCCCAGGGCCCTCAGAACAAAGCCTCCGTCCCTCATCACTGTTCTGCTGACCCTGGGCCTCTTCTTGGCTCCCCCACATGTCTCAGTTAACCACTTTCTCAGTTAACCACTTTTTTCCCTGCCCTCCGCTTGAAACATTCTCATCAGGTACCGCCCGAGCCTCTGTGTCACCTCCTATAGGTCCTTCCCACTCAGCTCAAGCGCCACCCTGGAAAAGGTGGCCTCTCTGCCTGGGGTTCCTCATCACAACCTCACTGCCTGGCTTTGTCCCTTCTGGGTCACCTCCCCTCCCCTTTTCCCCAGCTCCCTTCTCCTCAGCCTTCCAGTCTGACTTCTGATGTCAGCTCCCTCAGAACCCTTCCTGGGTGCCCACTGGGTGGATGGAGGGCTGTTGATGTCCCCAGTGCCCAACAGAGGCCCAGCATCGGATTGTGAATGTTTGGTGAATGAGTAAAGGAACATGTTTGAGAGGATCCATGAAGGAGAGAGCCTCTATGAGGTGAGGGTCTCAGGCCCATCTCCTGCCCAACCACCGTCCCTCCCAGCCCTCTCAGGAGGAGGGTGCCGCTGGGCTCTGGCCACACCCCACCCTTGGTGGCTGCCAGCCCTGAGAGGCATTTCCCGAGCTCAGCACATTCCTGCCTTCCCCGGTGGCTGGGAGTGGGCAGGGGGCATTTCAGAGAGGAAGGGGGAGGCACCCAGCATGTTGGGCTGCTACCATCCTGCTCCTGGACCCTGAGCCCTGTAGAATAGGCCCCAGCCCCCCAGTGCAGGATGGGCACAGGCCCACTGAGGGGCAGGCTGGCCTGTTTGAGGGGCTGGGTGCCCACCACAGGCCTGGTGTGGGTGCCTGGAGGGACAATGGGGCAGAAGCTGCTGACACGCACTTCGGGGGTGATCCCCCTGGGCCTCACCCAGCCTCAGCCTTGGTCCCGGCTCAGAGAGCCTCGGGCATCCAAGGAAGCAGCCGGTGGGTGCAAGGGACATGTGGGTGTATCTGTGCTTCCTGTGCCACCCCTCGGGGTCTGGTGAGTCGGGGCAGGCTTGGGGTTGAGCCCCGGACCTGTGAATCAGAGAGAGGCCTGGTGTCCTTGGTTTGGGAGTTGGGCAGACCTGGGTTTAAATCTGAGCTGCTGCCATTAACCTGCTGTATGACTTCCGGTGAACCACTCACCCTCTCTGAGTTTGCTGTCTGAAATGGAGGGTCAGAGGAGTGTGGCAGGGTCTTTGGGGTCCATCAGAACCAGCATCAGGGCCCAGCTGCACAACCTCCTGATTGCATGGCTGCAGACTGGACCGCATCAGCCCCCCTCGATGCAGAGAAGAGGTCTTCGTCCTCAGTATGGCTTTCAGCACATGGCAGGTGTCCCTCGAGCAGTGACTTCACTAAACAGAGATGCAAGTCCCCATTATGCCAAATCTTACTAAAAAGGGTTCAAGAGCCTGAAGAGAAGACTGGCCAGACCTCTAATGATTTGTGTGAGCAACAACAATACAGAATAGAAGTATGTGCCAGTGTTGTTTTCAGCTTTTTTTTTTGAGACAATGTCTCGCTATGTAGCCCAGGATGGCCTTGAACTCACTATGTAGCCCAGGCTGGTCTCAAACTTGAGGCAATCCTGCCTCAGCCTCCTGAGTGCTGGGACTACAGGCTTGTACTGCACCTGGCTTTTGCCTATTTTAATTACTATCTTCATTTTAGAGATGAAGACACTGAGGCCCAGAGAGAGGGTGGGACTTGAGTTAAAGGATGTGTGTGGAAGGTGTCTGTCCCAAGGACCCCAGAAACCATGCAGGCCAGGCCTGAGTGCAGGAGCAGGAAATGGTGGGGGCGGGGTGCTGAGTCCCCAAGTCGAATGGCCACGTGTAACTCCCTGCAGCAGGACTCCGGGGAGGTCTTGGCTCGGGCCAGGGACAGGCTGTGTTCCCCGGTCCCCACCCCCTTTCAGAGGGCCATAGCTGGGAGAAGGGGATGTTTGTTTCCCCACCACCCACCTCTGGTGACATCACACGGAGGCAGCCAATGGCAGGGGTCTCCCCTTCCCTCCGCTCCTCATTCCTTTTCCCCCCAGCCTAGAGCTGAGGCTGAGCAGACAGACCAGGAGCTCCTGTGGCGTCTGGAGGCCCAGTGTGGTAAGAGATCAGCTGGCCAGTCCCCTCCCAGGCCAGGCTGAGAAGCCTTGGGAATGAGACCCAGGTCTGGGAGGGTCCCTGGGGCTCTGGAGGCAGGGTGGTGTGTGAGTGAGGGGCATAGGTTTTGGAGCTAGGCTGTGGGTTCAAATCCCAGTGTCCCCTCTTTCTGACTGTGCAGCCTGGGGAAATATAATTCAACCTTTGTGCCTCTACTTTCTTATCCCTAAAATGGGCTGACAGAGACCACCTCACAGGGCTGGTGTGAGTGTAACTGAGTTAGTGCTTAGGAGGAGCTGGGACAGGCTTTCTGTCTCTGGAATAGGGAGCTAGGAAAGTGGTACTGATGCTCAATTTTGTCACTTACCCAAAGATCCCCCTTGGTTGGAAGAAAAGTGGAGTACACTGGGGAACAAAGACTGGGTATGAGACTATGTGAGATATGTATATTAACTGAACATTTATTCTATACTGAGAATATTCTAAGTACCTGCTATTGTCTCACAAATCTTCAAAGCCAGTTTTATTGGCTCCATTTCACAGATGAAGAAACTGAGAGCCCAGAGGGGAAGGATGTGGCCCAGTGCACACACTCAGGAAGTGCTGGAGAAGCCAGAGGCTGCACCTTCAGATGCCCTCAGATGAGGTTCAAATCCCCCCACTCCCATTACTGAGGGCACTGGTCCCCAGGTGGCTGAGGAAGCTGGGACTGACTGGGCAGGATTCCCAAGTGAAGTTGGAGGCGGCCACCGAGGAAGAGGCCAGAAGGACAAAGCCTTCAGCCGATTCCTAGCAGTCTCAGCTTAGCTGAGGGCCAGGGCCCAGGTGACAACCCCTCCCTTCCAGCCACTCTGAAGGGCACAAGTCCTGTCTAAAATGGACATCTAGGTGGTACCCGCCTCAGGGAGGATTTAATGAGCTGAGACAGGGAAGGATCTGCACATATAGTAAGTGCTCAAGAAATAGGGAGCCTGAGAATTCTGGAAGCTCAGACTTGTACTCAGACAGAGCCTCAGTAACCACTCAAGAAATGAGCTGATACCTGGGTGTGATGTCACATGCCTGTATTCCCAGTACTTTGGGAGGTTGAGGAAGGAGAATCACAGATTTGAGCCCATCTTGGCTCAAAATAAAATATTTATGTATTTATTTTTGAGACAAGGTCTCGCTAGGTAATTCAGGCTGGACTTGAACTCACTATGTAGCCCAGGCTGGCCTGGAACTTGAGATGATCCTCCTGCTTCAGCCTCCTGAGTGCTGGGATTACAGGTGCATGCCACCATGCCTGGTTCAAAATAAAAATTTTTAAAAGGGCTGGAGGTGTAGCTTAGTGCAAAGGCCCTGGGTTCAGTCCCTAATACAGAAAAGAAAAAGAAAAAGAAAAAGAAGAGCAGAGCTGCTGGCACCTGTAGGGTTCTGCCTGGTCCTTACTCACCAGGGGAAGTCTCCTCACTATTAGGTCTCCTCTGGTTTATGTCAATGCGGCCCCCTCCTTCCTCATTCGCTGGGCAGGGCTGGGAACAGAGAGTGCCTGGAGGGTAGGTTTCCTTCCGAAGCTCCCACACCCAAGGAGGAGCTGGGTCTGTAGCTGAGGAAGGGCACCATTGGGCTAAATATAACCTGGCCTGGGCAGCTGTCCCAGGCAGGGAGAAGGAAGGAGGACTCTCTTGCTCCTGCCCACCCTGGGCTTCCTGTCAGCCTCTGGCTGTGACACTCGCTGCCTGAGCTTGGAGTGGGGATTTGGGGCCCAAGAGACCCTCCCCGATATCTGCCATGCCCAGCCAGGCCCAGGCTGTCCTGCTGATGCTGTGTAGTGCCACAGTCCTGGTGAGCTTCCCACAGCTGGGCTCTCCCGTGACATCTGTCTTAACTCCTTCACTTATCAGCAAAATGGGGCCCTGTGAATCCTAGTCAGCAGGGCTTGGCATCAACCAGGTGTCTCTGAAGTTGCATTTACAACACCCTCGGCCCCAACCAGCTGCTGTGCCAGCTGTTCTGTGCCTTGGGGCTCCTGGGCTCAGCACCACCAACTGAATTTAGGTACAGAGTGGAGGTCAAGGGTGCTGGGGTGGGGCAGGGTGGGGTTTGTTCTGCTTGTTTCTGGTCCTGTGACTCTGGACGGGTCACTTCCCCTCTCTGAGCCTCAGTTTCCATCTCTGGACAGCCACAATGTCCAGGATGATTCTGAGGCCTCTGAGTGGCAACATAAGACCTGGCTCAGACGAAACATCCCAAACAGGGCAGCCAGGCTGGGAGAGGTCTGTACCCTGCTTGGAGGCACTGGAGCCTAAGGAGTCTTGTTATGGACGCAGAAACCAGATCCCCTAGGAGATCCAGAGGGGAGCCCTCTTGGACACCGTGGGGGACCCACCAGTGGAGCATTTGCAGCTGATGTCGAGGGGTCCCCGTGTCCTCTGCACTGGCCAGTGGCGGGCTATGAAGGGCCATTGTGTGGCTGGGGGGGGGGGGGGGGGCAGGGGTGGAATGTGACCGGGCCCAGCAGACAGGCCATTGTGTGCGGGAATGTGCCGCGTGAGGCCTGACCTTTCCCTGTACACCACAGGTTGGCGGGTTGGCATGCCAGGTGGGGCCGTGAGGACAAGGCCACAGTCAGGGTGGGCACCGGCTCCATCTCCATGCTACCAGCAGAGTCCGGCAGGAGACACCTGCAGACTGACTCTGAGTCCTTCTCCCTGTGCTTGTGACCTGGACCAAATTCTCTTGGCCTCTCTGAGGGGACAAGGTCTTTAGTGGTGAAGTGGAAGGTGACAGTCTTAGCACAAGAATTAGCAGATAATAAACATTCAATAATCATCAGTTATTTTTTTTCTTTTTGCATTTTTATTTTATTTTGTTTTGAGACAGGTTCTTGCTATGCAGTTCAGGCTGGCCTTGAACTCACAGTGATCCTCCTCCCTCAGCCTCCCTTGTGCTTTACGGGTGTGCACATCCCCAGCCCCTGCTATCATCAGTTATTAATATTGGTTGTTATTATTATTACTAGCCATATAAGGAGTTGAAACTTTTTTTTTTTGGTACTGGGGTACCGGGGATCAAACTCAGGTCCTTGCGGTTTTGAGGCAGGTGGCAGAACCACTGAACTAAATCCCCAGCTCCAAGTTGGAACTTCTTTTTTGGGGGGTAGTACTGGGGATAGAACCCAGGGCCTTTGAACTGAGCTACATCCCCAGCCTTTTTAAATTTTGAGACAGGGTCTCTCTCTAAGTTGCTGGGCTTCAACTTGCAATCCTCTTGGCTGAGCCTCCCAGAGTGCTGGGATTACAGGGGTGTGCCACCGCACCCAGTAAAGCGTTGGATCTTTGAGACAAGTTCAAATCCTGGCTCTGCTATGTCACTCCAGGGATGTGACTGTCCTTCCCCCAGTTTCAGGTGTCCCCTCTGTAATGGGCTCCGTAATAGGCCTGACCTCACAGGGGTATTCTGAGGTTCCAGTGAATGACACTGGTGGGGCACTTGGCCCAAAGTCAGGACCACAGGATGTTCTTAGTAATAACAGCAGCAAGTACTACTATAGCACCTGCCACTGCCTGCCACTTTATACTTGTTAACTCATGCAATCCCAGAACCTCACTGGGATTTCCCCCCCTGTAGAGAAAGAAGTGAGGGGAGGCAGGCAGGATGTGGGAGCAGCTGTCATTACTTCCGAGAGAATTTGAACCCTCAGTTTACCAAGAGTGTTGGCACAGGGCTCTGCTTTCAGACAGGCCTAGGAGTCAGTTTGGGCTTTACCACTGGTGGTCTAGCTGTGTCACCTGAGTTGTCTTGTGGACCTCATTTTCCCTACCTGCACTAGAGGGCCAGGGAATTGGCAGAGCCCAAGGAGGGCCGGGCACTTGGGAGGCCATTAGTAGGTGTCAGCTGGTTAATACTGTGCACATTATTTCTCTCAGAGGCCCAGACCCAGGAGGCCCAACGAGCTGGAGGTGACCCTCAGGTGAGTGCTGTCTGGTGCCACAGGTCCCTCCCTGCCCACCCCTGGCCAGCCTGGAGCCTCATGCCCTGTCTCTCCCTAGCAGGCAGCAAGACCTCAGTGAAAGGGCACGAGCCCTCCAGACAGCTGTGTGGCACCTGGGGCTGGGCTCCTGGTTGGAGGGAGTACCTGTGCCCAGGCAGTGGTGAGAGGGCAGCAGGGGCACTTTTCTCTCCCTGAAGCCCACCCTGACCTCCCTGGGGAGCCTGGACTCCACTTCTCAGCCCCTCCTGGTCTCAGGCCTCTATCCTTGACCCCACAGGCTCAGCGACGGGTGCTCCATGCAGAGCTGAAGCTGGTCCTGCAGTAGAAGGGAGAGCAGAAGCAGGAGCCTGGGGCTCAGGAGACTCCGAGCAAAGCCATGGAGGCCAGGAGCCAGAGTGCTGAGGTAAGTACTCTTGGGCCCTGACAACAGCAGCAAGGAGACTCTTCCTGGCTTCTCTGTGCCTCTGTTTCCCCATCTGTGAAATAGAAATATTGAGGGGAAAAAATTAAAATTAACATATGTATAATGCTTAGTACAGTGCATGGGACAGAGACTCAAAGCAGCCTATTCATTGGATCATGAGTAGGAGTTACTACAGTGGTATATGTTTGTTTTTTTGAGACAGGGTCTCACTTTGTAGTTCAGGCTGGCCCAGAACTCATTATGTAGCTCAGGCTGGCCTCAAACTCTGAGCAATCCTCCTGTCTCTGCCTCCGGAGTGCTGGGATTACAGGCGTGAGCCACCACACCGGGCTTGGTGATATATGTTTGGTTTTTTTCTTTTCTTTTCTTTTTTTTGGTGCCGGGGATCAAGCTCGGGTCCTTGCACTTTCGAAGCAGGTGGCAGAACCATTGAGCTAAATCCCCGGCCCTTGGTGGTATATGTTTGTAATCCCAGCACTTGGGAAGCTGAGACAGGAGGATCACCAAGTTCACGGCCAGCCTGGGCTACAGAGTGTCCTCTTCTTCAGGTCACAGCCCACAATCACAGACTCCTTCCAGTATGCCCAGGATACCTAACTTTACAGTGGAGAAATGGGCCCAGAAAGGGCAAAGTGCTCCCCCAAGAGACACACAGCACTTTGAATTCCTAGACAGATCTCAGGTTTCTCACTTCCTCTTCTGGGAAGCCTCGATGTGAATCCCACAGTGCACTGTTGGGCTGGGGCCAGTCTGCACCATTTACAGTACATACCAGGAATGCCACTTCTGCTGGTGCACATTCATTACCCACGCACCCCCACCCGATTCCCTCTCCCGTGGGTGTTATGCAGGTCTTGGGGTTATAAGAGTCCACAATAGAGCACACTCACACACATTCAAGGGGGCAGGGGCCAAGTCCCACTCCCCATTCCTCCATCCCTTGTGGCTTAAGGATCCAGTCTTTTCCTAGGAGTTCCATCCTCAACATTACCCCTTGTTTTGCTATTTTTAACCCCCCTCCAAGCTGGGTGTGGTGGCACATGTTTGTAATTCCAGGACTCTGGGAGGCTGAGGCAGTAGAATCAAAAGTTAAAGCTAGCCTAGGTAATTTAGTGACTGGTGAAACCCTGTCTCAAAAAACTTTTAAAAACAAAAATTTAAAAATTTTAAACTGGGTGTTGTGGTGCATGCCTATAATCCCAGCACTCAGGAGGCTGAGGCAGGAGGATCGCTTTGAGTTCAAAGCCAGCCTGGGCTACACAGTGAGTTCAAGGCCAGCCTGAGCTACATAGAGACCCTGTCTCAAAACCCCCCCAAAATTTAAAAAGGGCTCTGGATGGAGCTCAAGTACAAAGGCTCTGGATCCAATCCCCAGCAGGGGGATTCTCCCCATAACTCGATCTTGCCTTTTGATTATTGGAACTCCAACCCCCTCCGGCCTGTGGTCTAGGGTCCCGCTCCAAATTCCCAGACCCGCCCTCCCCAAGCATCCGGGCCTCAGGACATGGTCCCGCCCCCAGATTCCCTGGCACCGCCTCCACCCCAGTCCCGCCTCTCCCCGCCCCTCGCGACTGCAGCCTTGGGGAGAGGAGCACAAGCGCACCGAGCTGTTTAACCACAACCAACCCGGGTCCTAGAGAGCGAGGCGCCCGCGCGCTCGCGTGCTTAAAAGGGAGAGGCCGGATGAGTGGCCCAGACGTCCTGCTTGGGTCTCGCAGAGGACCATGTGTCCCGAGGGCCTGTGTAAGAGACACTTTTAAGCGCGATGGCGGATTCTGGGCGAGATCCAGTCCTGGAGCCCCATGGCGACCCGTCGCCACCCTCCGCAGGAGCTGCGGAGAGCAGAGTTGGTGGAAATCATCGTGGAGACGGAGGCGCACACCGGGGTCAGCGGGATCAACGTAGCGGGTGGCGGCAAAGAGGGAATCTTCGTGCGCGAGCTCCGCGAAGACTCACCAGCAGCCAGGAGCCTCAGCCTGCAGGAAGGTGGGTGGGGCCGGGTGAGGGCGGAGCCGACCTGAGGGGTGGGGTCAGGAATGGGGGCGTGTCCGACAGTCAGGAGGCGAGGTTAAAGGCTGGGGCGGGTGCTTTATTGGCTTTGTGATTTTTCAGAACTTGCTCTGGAGTTTTCATTGTTGGATTCGGATTAGTAGTTTCTGTTTGTGATCTTTCTGTGCCTCAGTTTCTTCATCCTGACAATGAGAATAACTAGTACTGATCTCATGTGGTCATTATGTAGATTAAATGAGTCAGTATTTGAAAACAGCGCACAGTGGAGTAGCACAAGGTAAATTGTGTAAGTGCTAATGTTTGTGTGTTGGGACAGGAGAAAAGAGGTGAGTTAACAGTTTGGAGGGTTGGGGAGGAGAGTTTGGTAAGTAAGGGATGATTTAGGAAACATGAATGAACCTAATGTGATTTATTCATGCAACTACTTTTTTTTTTTTTGGTACCGGGGATCAAACTCAGGACCTTGAGCTTGCGAGGCAGGCGCTAAATCCCCGGCCCCCTACTATTAAGCACCTTCCCTCTCAGACATTGAAGGACTTGGATTATACCAGTGAACAAACTAGACAGCAGTCCCTGCATGTAGGGGGAGGTTACAGTCTAGTGGCGAGAGATATATTTAAGCAAAATAAGTATAAAATCTAGTAAATTAGAAATAAGTACAATATTTAGTAAATTATATAGGCATATGTGCTAAGGCTGCATTTTTACATAGGGTGGGGTAGGAAGAGTAGAAAGGCTGAAGGAGGTAAGGGAACAAGGTGTATGAAGAGCATTCTAGGCAGCAGGGACAGCCAGTGTAGACACCCCATGAAAAACAGTGGGTATGCAGTACATCGAGTGAGGAAGAGCAAGAGGTCAAGCCCAGCGTCATAGTGTATGCCTGTAATCCCAGCACTCAGGGAGGCTGAGGCAGGAGGATTGCTGGGAGTTCAAAGCCAGCCTGAACTACATAGCAAGACTGTCTCAAAAAACAAACAAAGGAACAAAAGAGAGTAATGAGGTCAGAGAGGTAGGAAGAGGAGTGATTTTTGGAGGGCTTCATAGGCCATAGTGAGGACTTTTTGACTTTTTTATTCTGTGAAGAGTAAGAATTGGTCATGGTGAACTGTTGCATTAAAGGTAGACTGTAGGGGGCAGGCTTGGGAGCAGGGAGACCAGCAAAGGGGCTACTCAGTGTTGTTGGTGAAAAGGATTCAGATTCTGGGCAGACTTTGATGGAGGAACCTTCAGGACTGGATGTGGGCCATGACAGAGACAGAAGTATGGTCATGGATGCATCCAGGGGCTCAAGACCCGAGGGTGGAGTTGCTAGTCCTATAAGGGGGGCACTCGGAAGCTGGTGCTCATTTGGAGAAAGAAGTTCAGGTGTGCAACAGCGCTCTCTCGAGTGAGAGTTGTCTGCTGGATGTGCAGGTGAGAATGCGGAGGGGCAGCTGATACACTGTCCACCCTGTGTATCTGGGTTCTGTATCTGAGCATCAACCAAAGACTGAAAATATTTGGAGAAAATTACGTTCATACTGAACATGTCCAGATTTGTCTTCTTGTCCCTGAACAACAGAGTGTAACAACTATTTACATGATCTTCAGGCAGTATTAACTATTATAAGTAACCTAGAGATGATTTAAAGTATACGGGAAGATATGCACGGTTAAGTGCAAATGTTATGCCGTTTTCTACATGGGACTTGAGCACTCCTAGGTTGTAATACCTGAGAGGGCTCCCAGGAATCCTCACTGAGGAATACCTAATGAATCTAGAGTGGAGGGGAGGGTTCTGGGCCCAAGAAACACTGCGTGGTTGTCAGTAGATTTGTGACCCTTCAGTTACTCAGTCTGGTTGAGCTTCCTGAGAATTCCAAAATGGCGAATGTTGTGTATATACAGAGACAAGTCCAAGACCTGAGCCCTGCATCTGTGTGTCAGTAAGAGTTCAGAAGCTGAGTGTGGTGGTGCACATCTGTAATCCCAGCACTCTGGGAGGCTGAGGCAGGGGAATGGAAAGTTCAAGCCCAACCTGGACAATTTTAGAAACTTAGTGATGGCTTGTCTCTAAATAGAAAATAAAAAGTATTGGCAGCTGGGTTTGGTGGTTCATGCCTGTGATCCCAGCACATGGGAGGCTGAGGCAGGAGGATCACCTAGAGTTTGAGGGTAGCCTGAGCAATATAGTGAGTTCAAAGGCCAGCCTGAACTGCATATCGAAACCCTTTCTCAAAAAAAACAAAACAACACCCTCTCCCCAATAAAGGGCTGGAGATATATTTCAGTGAGAATGCCCTGGATTCAACTCCCAGTACAAAATAAAAGTTCCAGGGGGTGTGTGGCACATACTGGAAGCCAAGGGTAGCAAGTGGTGAAGGAGGAGAGTGAGGTTGGGCAAATGCTGAGTGGTCCAAGCAGGTGAAATCTGGGACTTGGCTATTGAACTTAGCTACTCCGGGGGTCACTGGCTGGCACCTTAAGAGGAGCAGTTCAGGTGTGTGTGTGTCGTCCCGGAGGTGGGGTGGAAAGTGTAACTGGAGATGTGGAAATTATGCCAGTGCATTTTGCCTGCAAGGGGAACAGATAAAATGGGGCAGGAGATGGGGTCTGGATAACCTTTCCAGAGAGAGAATAGCATGTTTGTCTGCCATTGGGGTAATGCAGGAGAGAGGGGTAGCTAGTGATGCGGAAGAGGGGAGAGTTGCTGGAGGGTGTCCTGGGGAAGGTGGTGAGGGACTGACTGAGCTCGGTGTGGGGACAGTTTATACCTAGGACCTTGGAGCGAAGCGCCACCAGGGAGATACAAAGATGGGGCGGGAGTGTGTGGAAGTTAACTTCTGCTTCTGTTCTCTCAGTGAAGGAAATGAAGTCAGTATCTGCACTGTGGGGATGGGATAGGGCAGTGGAAAGGCGACTGGCGTGGCCTGAGTGGCAGGGATTGGTTCCATGGCTTCATGCGTGGAGGGGCTTTGTTCTTTTTTTGGTACCGGGGATCAAACTCGGGACCTTCTGCTTGGGAGGCAGGCAGCAGAACCACTGAGCTAAATACGCAGCCCTTGTGTGTGTGTGTGTGGGGGGGGTCTTTGTTCTTGATTAGTTTGAACTTCCTGTCTCAGGCCTTTGCTCTGGGGTGGGCGGGATCTCTGCACCCCCCACACACCAAGGAAGTGGGCGGGGCCGGGAGATGCCCACGCCCCGCCCACCTTGGCATCTCCTGCAGGGGACCAGCTGCTGAGTGCACGCGTGTTCTTTGAGAACTTCAAGTATGAGGACGCACTACGTCTGCTGCAATGTGCCGAGCCTTACAAGGTCTCCTTCTGCCTGAAGCGCACGGTGCCCACTGGGGACCTGGCGCTGCGGCCCGGGACTGTGGCTGGCTACGAGATGAAGGGCCCTCGGGCCAAGGTGGCCAAGCTGGTACGCGTGCTGAGCCCGGCCCTGGCCCCGGCCCCGGACTGCCCCAGCGATCCCGTCTCTGCACCATGAGCCCCACTACCCACCACACGGGCCAGCCTCGCCCTCTGTCTTGTCACTAACCCGATGCTAGTCCCACCCTGTGTCCCCTGTTCTTCACCCCTAAACTCCTCTCCTGGGGAGGCGGACCCACCTATCCCAGACTGTGGCCCTCACCCATCTTGGAGAGGCAGCCCCACCATTGGATCCAGAGTCACTAGGGGTACTTGGAACCAGGCAGGCCAGATCCCATCCTGAGTGCTGCTCAGTTACTGCTGTGTGACCCTGGACAACCTTCTTTCTCTCCTTGGGTCTCGTCTCATCTCTACAATAAGAGTGTTGGGGGAATTCCTAGATGAGATCCTAGACATTTAGGGTCCCAGTTCCTACACTCTTGTTGATTCCCATGGGATTCTAAATGAGTGTCCTTCCCTTCCCGGAGTAAGATGACAGGCAGGAAGTGGGGATGGTGTACTTTCAGTCAAGGTACTTTACTCAGCATATCCCCAGCCTGGTACGATGCCATGCAGGGCTCTCTCTGGCCACTCCTGGCCTCCCACTATCCCACCGCCTCCTGCCTCTCTCCTCTCTCCCCAGAATATCCAGAGTCTGTCCCCTGTGAAGAAGAAGAAGATGGTGGTGGTGCCTGGGGCCCTGGGGGCCCCTGCAGACCTGGCCCCCATTGACGTCGAGTTCTCCTTTCCCAAATTCTCCCGCCTGCATCGGGGCCTCAAAGCCGAGGCAGTCAAGGGTCCTGGCCCAGCTGCCCCTGTCCACCGGCGCCTCCAGCTGCCTCGGTTGCGTGTGCGAGAAGTGGCCGAAGAGGCCCAGGCAGCAAGGCTGGCTGCTGCCGCGCCTCCCCCCAGAAAGGCCAAAGCAGAGGCTGAGGTGGTGGTGGGAGCTCAGTTTACAACCCCTCAGGTGGAGCTGGTTGGGCCCCGGCTGCCAGGTGCCGAGGTGGGTGTCCCTCAGGTCTCAGCCCCCAAGGTGGCCCCCTCTGTGGAGAGGCCCAGTGGCTTTGACCTCCATCTGTCCACCCTTGGGTTAGGAGCCCCAGCAGCTCCTGCTGTGGAGCCCCCACCCATAGGGATCCAGGTCCCCCAAGTGGAGCTGCCCACCTTGCCCTCACTACCCACTCTGCCCACACTGCCTTGCCTGGAGACCCGGGAAGGTGCTGCCATGGTGATGGTGCCCACCCTGGATGTGGCAGCACCCACCGTGGGGGTGGACCTGGCCTTGCCAGGCAAGGAGGTAGAGGTCCCAGGAGAGGTGCCCGAGGTGGCCCTGAAGATGCCCCACCTCAGCTTTCCCCGATATGGGGCTCGAGGGAAGGAAGTTGCTGCTGCCAAGGTGACCAAGGACAGCCCCGAGGCCAGGGCAAAGGGTCCCAGACTTCGAATGCCCACCTTTGGGCTTTCTCTCCTGGAGCCCCGGCCCTCTGCCCCTGAAGCTGTTCCCGAGAGCAGGCTGAAGCTGCCCACCATCAAGATGCCCTCCTTTGGCATTGGAGCAGTGGGGCCTGAGGTTAAGGTGCCCAAAGGGCCTGAAGTGAAGCTCCCGAAGGCCCCTGAGGTCAAACTCCCAAAAGTGCCCGAGGCAGCCCTTCCAGATGTGCAGCTTCCAGAGGTGCAGCTCCCCAAAGTGTCAGAGATGAAGCTTCCAAAGGTGCCTGAGATGGCTGTGCCGGAAGTGCACCTGCCAGAGGTGCAGCTCCCGAAAGTCCCGGAGATGAAGCTCCCCGAGATGAAACTGCCCGAAATGAAGCTCCCAAAGGTGCCCGAGATGGCAGTGCCTGACATGCACCTGCCAGAGGTGCAGCTCCCAAAAGTCCCAGAGATGAAGCTCCCTGAGATGAAACTGCCCGAAATGAAGCTCCCAAAGGTGCCTGAGATGGCAGTGCCTGACATGCACCTGCCAGAGGTGCAGCTGCCCAAAGTCCCAGAGATGAAGCTCCCAAAGATGTCGGAGATGGCTGTGCCCGAGGTTCTACTGCCTGAAGTGCAGCTGCCCAAAGTCTCGGAGATGAAATTCCCCAAAGTCCCAGAGATGGCTGTGCCTGAGGTTCGGCTGCCAGAGGTGCAGCTTCCAAAGGTGTCAGAGATGAAAGTCCCCAATGTGAGACTCCCTGAAATGAAGCTCCCGGAGATAAAACTCCCTAAAGTTCCTGAGATGGCTATGCCTGATGTGCACCTCCCAGAGGTGCAGCTACCAAGAGTGTCAGAGATTCGGCTGCCAGAAATACAAGTGCCAAAGGTCCCAGATGTGCATCTTCCCAAGGCACCCGAGGTGAAGCTGCTGGCAACTCCAGAGGTGCAGCTAAAAGCTGCTGGGGCAGAGCAGGCAGAGGGGACAGAATTTGGCTTCAAGATGCCCAAGATAACCATGCCCAAGTTAGGCAGGGTCGGGTCTCCAGGCATGCCAGGAGAGGCAGGTGGTGAAGTCTCAGGGAAGTTAGTGACACTTCCTTGTCTGCAGCCAGGGGCCAGCGGTGAGGTTCGTGTGGGCGCCCCCTCTCTCACTCTTCCCTCTGTGGAGCTGGATCTGCCGGGAGCCCTCAGCCTGGAGGGACAGGTCCGAGCAGCAGAAGCAGGCAAGGTGGAGCAGCCAGAGGGTCCCAGGGTGGCAGCAGGTGTTGGGGAAGTGGCCTTCCATGTGCCTTCGGTTGAGATTGTTACTTCACAGCTGCCTACAGTGGAAGGTGAGGAAGGGCAGCTAGAGATGGCCGAGATGAAAGTCAAGCCTTCCTCCAAATTCTCCCTGCCGAAGTTTGGACTCTCAGGGCCAAAGGTGGCTAAGGCCGAGGCCGAGGGGGCTGGGCGAGCCACTAAGCTGAAGGTGTCCAAGTTTGCCATCTCACTCCCCAAGGCTCTGGTAGGGATAGAAACTGAGGCCAAAGGGGAAGGGGAAGCAGGCCTGCTGCCCGCCCTTGATCTGTCTATTCCAAAACTCAGCCTGGATGCCGCTGTGCCCTCAGGCAAAGCGGAGGTGATGGGGCCTGAAGTTAAGCTCAAGGCACCCAAGTTTGCTCTGCCAAAGTTTGGGGTCCGAGGCCGGGACACTGAGGTAGAACTAGCACTGGGGGCAGCTGAGTTGGAGGGCAAGGGCTGGGGCTGGGACAGGAAAGTGAGGATGCCCAAGCTGAAGATGCCCTCTTTTGGGCTGGCCCGAGGGAAGGAAGCAGAAGTTCAGAGTGGGCGTGTCAGCCCTGGAGAAAAGCTGGAGTCCATAGCTGGGCAGCTGAAGCTCCCGGAGGTGGAGTTAGTCACAATGGCGGCCCAGGAGGAAGGGAGCACAGAGGGTGTGGTGGCCGCCAGCGGGGTGCAGCTCTCAGCCAGGCAAGCCACTGAGGGCCGTGATGGGGTGCTGAAGATGCCCCCACTGGGGATCTCTCTGCCTCAGGTGGAGCTGACCAGCTTTGGGGGGATGGGCACCCCGGGGCAGCAGGCTGAGGGCACAGCGCCTTCTACAGAGGGCACCAGTAGCTGCAGGGTCCAGGTGCCTCAGGTAAGCCTGTCTCGGCCTGGAAGCCAGGCAGCAGGTGGTGAGCTGCTGGTGGGTGAAGGCATCTTCAAGATGCCCATGGTGACCGTGCCCCAGCTTGAGCTGGATGTGGGGCTGAGCCACGAGGTGCAAGCAGGTGAGGCGGCTGCAGGTGAGGGTGGGCTGAGGCTGAAGTTACCCACCCTGGGGGCAGGGGCTGGGGCAGAGAGGGCAGAGGATCAGTCCCTTGGGGCCGAGCGCACCTTCCGCCTCTCACTGCCTGATGTGGAGCTCTCGCCACCCGCTGTGGGCAGCCACGCCGAGTACCAGGTGGCAGAGGGTGATGGGGAGGCTGCACACAAGATGAAGGTGCGGCTACCTAGGTTTGGCTTGGTGCGGGCCAAGGAGGGGGGTGAGGAGGGCGAGAAGGCCAAGAGCCCAAAGCTCAGGCTGCCCCGAGTGGGCTTCGGCCAAAACGAGTCTGTCCCTGGAGAAGGCTCCCCCAGCCCCAAGGGGGAGGGGGAAGAGGAAGAGGGCACTGGGGAAGGGGCCTCGGAACGCCGGGGGCGAGTCAGGGTCCGCTTGCCCCGTGTGAGCCTGGCAGCCCCTTCTAAGGCCTCTCGGGGGCAGGGGGCTGAGGTATCCCCCAAATCTCCTGTTGGTGAGAAATCACCCAAGTTCCGCTTCCCCAGGGTGGCCCTAAGCCCTAAGGCCCGGACTGGGGACCAAGAAGAGGGTGGCTTCGGAGTTCGGCTGCCCAGTGTGGGGTTTTCAGAGACGGGGGCTCCAGGCCCTACCAGGATGGACGGGGCCCAGGCAGCTGCCGTCTGAAGCCCTGGGCAGGTGGAGACTCCTCTCCTGCTGAGATTAGGAGCACTAACCCTCAGAGGGCTGGGAGGTGGAAAGCTGATCAGGGCAGGGCCAAGAGGCCTGCCTTTCTCCTCTGCAGGAGTGTCTGTACCGTGCCAACCCATGTGAATAAATAATCCAGAGGGAGCCGTGTGTTCTGTTTTCTGTCCTCAAGTATATGAGTGAGTGTGCGCGTGTGCATGTGTGTATGTGTTTGGGGGGGTGGAGAGTAAGGTGTCCTTGAAGAACAGGTTCTAGGATGTCACCTGAGCCTGAGCTTGAGGGTGCAGGAGGCACTGATGTGAAGGAGAAACAGGTTCCTGGTCTGAGAAGAGGGCAGGGTGGGTGGCCTTTGGGCAGGGTAGACTTTGGTGGGAGGGCTCTGTCCTAGCCCTTCAAATTCCCAGAGGTCTTTGAGGAGGACTGGGGGGCGGTCCCCAGCACAGCACAGCAGTGGACCCCTCTTCTGGGAGCTCTGCTCTCCCGGGGATCCACTCTCCACAGGATGATTGCTCCCCCAGCTCCGGCCTCTGCCAGGGCTCCTGTGTACTCCTGCCTTTCCTTTCCTGTCTGGCTGGTTCCACAGCCCCATCTATCCCAGTCCCACCCAGGAAGGGCTTCCTGGTTCCTTCTTGGGAGTCATAGGTCAGAAACGCTTGGCCTCCTCTTAGGACTCCGTCCCAGGGTCCTCAACACCTGTCAGTGTTGGGACAGTTCCTAGGGACCACAGGTTATCCATCCCCCTCTCCATCCCTAAGCTCCTGCCACCAAGACCTCTGCATTCCCCCATGTCTCTGCGACACAAGAAGTTACTGTCTTCTACAAGTGGTGGTGCACACCTGTAATCCCAGCACTTGGGAGGCTGAGGCAGGAGGATCACCATGAATTCAAGGTCAGTTTGGGTTACATAGTGAGACCCTATCTCAAAAAACCAAGCAACCAAACAAACAAAACAACAAGATACCCTGTTCAAGGACCTTTTTGGAAAGAGCCTTCCCAAAGGACAGAAGAACCTGGGTCCTGAGGGGACAAGGAGCCTGGATGGCCCACACCGTGTTGAGGGAGCTCCCCTTGCCCCCCCTCCCTGGCATGTCTATAAATATACAAGGGAGAAAGGAGTGGGTGGGGAGGGGTTGTGGAGCTGGAGCCTCAGTTCCCCTCCTCCCTCTGCTCTGATCCCGTCTCTGGGGCTATTTGTTTAAAAAAAAAACCAAAAAACAAAAAAACAACACTGGGGATTTAGCTCAGTGGTTTCGCTGCCTACTGCGTATCCCCGGTACCAAAAAAAAAAAGTTTTTAAAGATACCCTGTCCAGTTCCGTCTTCCTGCAATGTCCTACTGGACTTGGGCCCATCCACGCTCCCATGCCTGCCCCGCTATCTCAGGGGACGAGAGCATAGGTCCCCCTTACTCCTACCAGCTCCCCTACTCAGGTCACGGCCTCCCCAACACTCTCCGTTCCCACCACACAGGCAAGAGTCATCTACACTCACAGTGTGTGCCGCTTCCCCTACAGGGGCAGGAGCCTCTGTGGCTTGGCCTTGAGGTTTTCTCTGTCACCCTTGTCCTTACTTCTCAGGGAAACTCTGGTCTTTCTGACACTGACTCTTCTTCCCCGCTCCATGGGCTCCCAGGGGCCCTCCCAGGCCCATGGACACCCCACACCCTTGCTGGGCCTTTACCTTCCCTTCATGACTTCCAGGCCTCCACTGTGCCAGCCACTCCCAGACTGTCCCCTGTGGGCCCTGGTGAGCCAGTGGCCTCTGCTGCCTCCCTGGACATCTTTAGGGCACTGGGAGGTGTGGGTGGAGGTTCCAAGGGGGTTCTGGAACCGGGCAGCAAGGTCAGAGCCTAGCCCGGGTACCAAGCTGGGTGACCTCAGGCTTTCTTTTTCTTTTCTTTTTTGGCAGTGCTGGAGATGGAACCCAGCACTGCTCACATGCTAGCCAAGTGCTCTACCACTGAGCCACATCTCCAGGCTCTTTTTTTGGTGTGATTCTAGGCTTCGTGCATGCTAGGCAGAGTGCTGTAATATTGAGCTAAATCTCTGGTCTGTCCCAGACTTTTTTATTTTTTATGTTTGAGACAGGATTTTACTAAGTTGCCCAGACTGGCTTCACACTTACTATCCTCCTGAGTACCTGGATTACAGACATGTATATGCATTCAGGAAACTTAGGCATTTTATTTTATTTTTAAAATTTATATATATTTTTTGAGACAGGGTCTCACTATGTAGTTCAGACTAGCCTTGAACTCGCTATGTAGCCTAGGCTGGCCTTGAACTTGTGGCCATCCTCCTGCTTCAGCCTCCTGAGTCCTAGGATGATCCCAACCCTAACCCTAACCCTAACCCTAACCACCTTGGCTGATCTTAAGTATTTATCCATTTTTTTTTTTTTTTTTGATATCAAGGATCGAACTTGGGTCCTTGTGCTTTCGGGGCAGGTGGTAGAACCACTGAGTAAATCCCTGGCCCGATCTTCTTAGGCATTTAAAAAACTTCTTTGTACCTTGATTTTCTCTTCCATAAAATTCCTACTCCATACATGTTCAAATGTTTTGATGTTAATTCCTTAATCTTACCTCAACATTTTCTTACCAGAATAAGACAGCCCTGGGCCTTGTCTTATATATGTTCTTCCTTTCCCTGAAACCTGGTCAGCCCCATGGCCAGTTCTCCTGGCCTTTCAAGTGTCCCATCCAGCCACCTCCTTCACCCTTTCCCAATCTCTGTCACTTGGGCCCTGCCTTGACTTTCTTTCTGCAGCCTCCACTCTTTCCCCCTCCAAGTTACCCCTCTTCACACTTTCTGATACTCAGATCTGCCCTTGATCTCCCTTGCTGTTAACACCTGCTTTGGCTCCCCAGTTCCCATAGCACAAAAGCCAAACTCTTTAGTTTGCATTCAGGACCTTTTACTACCTGGGTCATCTGCCTACCACATCTACCCCATGGCAACCACAGGCTGGGGTGGGTGTTTTCTACACACACACACACACACACACACACACACACACACACGCACACACGCACACACACACAGGCACTTTCCCTTAAAGTGAAAAGTCTGCCTTTCCTCACTTCCTTCTGTAGGTCTGTCCCCATTCCCATACTGCACATCCAAGGTCCACCATCAGAGTCCCTCTCAGCCCTCCCTTCCCCTGTCTGCCTCTCCAGGGTTCCACCACTGGGTGGGGGAGGGGCCCCGCTTGGCACCCCACCCCCCATTCCAGCTGGGGCTCTGGTCTCCAACAACAGAACCAGAGCCACTCAGTGCCACTGGAACCCATTCGGGGTGGCCTGCAGCCCCTTGTCCCAAGCCAGAAGGGCTTTGGGGGCGGGTACAGTCCCTGGCAGACTCATCGTGTGGCCAAGGAGGCTGAGAGGTGCCAGGGACGTGGGAGCCAACCTCGTAGGGAGAGGCAAGAGTGTGGTGTGCTTTTCTTTCCCCTGCTGGGGGTCCCTCGGGGCCAGCCACAGAGTGGGAGGCCTCGGCGACAGAGCCTGTGGGTTGGGGGGCTGCAGCAGGACAGCATCTGGTGGCAGGGGAACCATGGCCACCATCCAAACGGAGACGGACTGTTACGATATCATCGAGGTGCTGGGCAAGGGCACCTTTGGGGAGGTGGCCAAAGGCTGGCGGCGAAGCACCGGTGAGATGGTGGCCATCAAGATCCTGAAGAATGATGTGTACCGCAGTCGCATCATCAAGAACGAGCTGAAGCTGCTGCGCTGCATGCGGGGTCTGGACCCCGAGGAAGCCCATGTCATCCGCTTCCTCGAGTTCTTCCATGATGACTTTAAGTTCTACCTGGTCTTCGAGCTGCTGGAGCAAAACCTCTTCGAGTTCCAGAAGGAGAACAATTTCGCACCCCTCCCTGCCCGGCACATCCGGACAGTCACCCTGCAAGTGCTCAGGGCCCTGGCACGGCTCAAGGAGCTGGCGATCATCCATGCCGACCTCAAGCCGGAGAACATCATGCTGGTGGACCAAACCCGCTGCCCCTTCAGGGTCAAGGTGAGGGCACTGCCCCGCCCCCAGTGCTTATCCCACCTCCTGGCCCTGGGGTCTCCCTCCCCTCCCCATGCTGCGGCTCCCCATCTCCCATTCCAGACCTGAGGTCTCCCCTGTCTCCCTCCAGGCCCAGAGGTCTCCCTATCCACTTCCATTCTCAGCTCAGCTCTTTGGTCCAGCCCTGTCCTTGTGGGGCTGGTGTTCTATAAGGGAGACAGAGTCACAAAGGAGGGAGAGGTGACACAGGAATGGGAAGGAGAGGAGATAAACCAGGAGGAGAAGGCTGTGGGCTGTGGATCAGAGTAGGAGTGGTGATGAGGGAAACTTTAGACCTGGTGGCCTGGGAGGCCTCATTGAGAAGGTGACATTAGAAGGGAGTCCTGAGGAGGGAGGGAGCTGAATAGACATACAGAGGAAAAGCATCCAGGGAGAAGGAATGGCCAGTGCAAAGGCCCTGAGGTAGGGTGTGCCCAGCATGTGTACATGAGGATCACGGAGGGGCCTGTAAGGCTGAAGCCAAATGAATGAGGTGCAGAGGGAGGAAATGAGATCAAGGAGGTGGTGGCGCACACCTGTAATCCCAGCACTCAGGACGCTGAGGCTGGAGGATCGCCATGAGTTTGAGGCCAGCCTGGGCTACACAGTGAGTTCAGTTCAGCCTAAACTGCATAGTGAGACCCTGTGGCAACAAAAAAAAAAAAGAAAAGAAAAAAAAGGAGGTGATGGGTGGCGTTTTGCAGGACCTTGAGAGACACAGCAGGGACTTGGGTTTTATTTTGTGGGAGATGAACCCACAGATGCTGAGGAGAGGAACAAGGTCGGACTCAGGTGTACACAGGCTACTTCCTGTGTGAGGGAAGCAGGCTACAGGGGGTGGGCAGGACAGGGGGACACAGAGAGGGATGGTGTGGGCATGGGAGGAGCTGTGGGTGGGCTCTGGGTAGATTTTTGGAGCTAGAGACCACAGGATCCACTGATAGTCTGACACTAAGTAGGCGAGAGGCGGGGAGGACTCGAGGGGCTCAAAAGCCTATTGGTCTGAAGAGCTGCAAGTGTGGCTGCAGTATTACTTGTCACTGTTACCTCGTCCATCAACATTCACCAGAGGCCTCTCTGTGCCTGGCCTTGTCCTGTGCTGAGCACACCGGGGCACCTCTGCTCCCCACCCCACCACCCTGACCCTCTGCCATCCTAGGCCTGGCCCTTCTGTCTGTTTATGGCTTTGTCACTCTCTGGTGATGGCTCTGAGCCCAGAGGGCCCTGAAAGCAGGCCTGGGCCTGGGCACCTCCTAGACCAAAGCTGGAGGCAGTGCTCAGTGAATGTATGGGAGACGCAGACAGGAAAGGACAGGTCATTCTGCCCGGAGACGGAAGGACAGAGACCCAGGGAAGGAGGGACTTCCATACACCCAGCAGGGGACACCCAGCAGCTAGCCAGTGTTGGCACACCAATCCTGCTTGTGGATGAACAGGCATTGGCGCAAAGCCCAGAGTCACTCAACCTCTCAGGGTCCTGGCCCCAGCAGGCTGGGCTCAGAATCGAGATTAATAACCATAGCATGATACTGCCTTCTGCGAACAGAAGGTGAGGAGCTGGACATGGTGGTGCGTGCCCCAGTGCCAGCACTTGCAGAGGCTGAGGCAAGTTGGAGCCCAGTCTGGGCAACTTAGCAACTTAGTGAGACCCAAAAAATTTTAAAATGCTTGGAGATATAACTCAGTGCAAAGGCCCTAGGTTAAATCCCCATTACCAACCAATCAACCAACAAACAAACAAAGGTTGAATGAAAAAGAAAGAAACTCAGAGGGGGAAACCAAGACCTTTGCCAAGAAAAAGTAAGTCTGGCCAGGCATGGTGGCACATGCCTGTAATCCTAGCACTCAGGAGGCTGAGGCAGGAGGACAGTCACAAGTTTGAGGTCAGCCTGGACTACATAGTGAACTTAAGACCAGCCTGGACTACACAGAGAGACCCTGTCTCAAAAAACTAAAACAACAACAACAACAACAACAACAACAAGAAACCTAGAAAAAAAGGTAAGTCTTGGAGGTTCAGCATGAAAATGCAGAGAGCTCCCCTTAGAGGCATGGAGAGAAATTCACACTGGTTCAAGGTGATTGCCCAGTGCCTGTCACAAAGTTAGGGCCATACAGGGCACAGACAGTGCCTGGTGATGAAGACAAAAGAGGGTGACATAGAGATGAAAGGACAAAAGGCATCAGGCATGAGACTCAAGCTAGGAAGAGGCAGTTGCAAAGAGAGACAAGTGAGAGAGTGGAAGAATGACAGGAATATAAGCCCACCCATCCATCCATCTCTTCATCTATCCATCCACTCATCCATCCGCCCATCCCTCCCTCCCTACCTCTATCACCCCATCCTTCCCGAGCCCCCTGCATTCCAGGCACTGTTTTTGTTTCATGACAGGGTCTCAGTATATAGTTCAGACTGGCTTTGAACTCATGGTGTAGTCCAGGCTGGCCTCGAACTTGCAGCAATCCTCCTACCTCAGCTTCCCAAGTTCTGGGATTACAGGCATGCACCACCATGCCCAGCTACAGGCATTGTTCTAGACCAGCAAAGACACACCATTGAACAGATCAGACAAAATCCCTGCCATACTGGAACTGGCAGCCTTAGTTGGGCAGAAAAATGATAAAAAGTAAAATATATAGTGTGTAAAATAGTGTTATGAGCAATAGTGAAAATCAGAGCTAGAAAGGGGGATAGAAAAGGTGGGGCTGCTGTTTTTGACAGGACAGCCAGGGAGGCCTCACTGGGGTGACATCTGAGTGAAGACCTAAAGGAGGAGATGGAGGGAGGCTTATGAAAGCTGGAGGGAGAGCATTCCAGGCAGAGGGAACAGCCCTGATCAGGGAAGGTGTGTGTGTGTGGGGAAGCATGAGGAGGCCCGTGTGATGAGGGGAGGGTGAGTGTGTGGGGGGAAGTGGGGTGGGAGACAGAGTGAGCAGATTCAGGGTCTGTTGGATGGTAGAGTCCAGCAGGATGTGGTTGTTACACCTGTAATCCCAGCACTTTGGGAGGCTGAGGCAGGAGGATGGCAAGTTTGAGCTCAGCCCGAGTAGTTTGGGAAGACTGTTTCAAAATAACAAAAAGGGGGCAGGAGATTTAGCTTAGTGTGAAGGTCCTGAGAAAAGGGAAAAAAGAGGCTGGAGCCAAACCTGATTTGCTGTTAAGCAAGTGTCTCAGAGACAGAAAGAAAGGTCTCAACCCTCAGAGGCACAAGACCTAGTGGAGAGAATCAGAGACAGAGGGAGCCAGACACCACCCAGGGACAACGGCTGGAAGACACAGATAGGGACACACATGGGAGAACAGGAGATGACAGCCCAAAGGCAGAGGCAAATGACAGATACAGAAGCACAGCAGGTGAGAGGTGCCAGGAGGCCCAGGTTGGCTGTGGCCGCCCCGCCACTGCCTATCTGGCCTTGTCCCTATCCCCTGCTCTCCTCAGGTGATTGACTTTGGGTCAGCCAGCATTTTTAGTGAGGTGCGCTACGTGAAGGAGCCGTACATCCAATCCCGCTTCTACCGGGCCCCTGAGATTCTGCTGGGGCTGCCCTTCTGTGAGAAGGTGGACGTGTGGTCCCTGGGATGCATCATGGCTGAGCTGCACCTGGGCTGGCCCCTCTACCCGGGCAACAACGAGTACGACCAGGTGCGCTACATCTGTGAGACCCAGGGCCTGCCCAAGCCCCACCTGCTGCACGCTGCCCGCAAGGCCCATCGCTTCTTCAAGCGCAACCCCCACCCTGACGCCGCCAACCCCTGGCAGCTCAAGTCCTTGGCTGACTACCTGGCCGAGACCAAGGTAGGGGGGTGGGCAGGATGAGGGCAGTCAGTGTGGGGGCTGCTATGTTAGACCTTAGGGAGGACCAGAAGCTTGGGCTCAGCTGGGAGGGTTGTCACTGCAAGAAAATTCCGGGTGAGATCGAAGGTGTGACTGGAAATCTGAGGATCAGCTCTGGGGGTCAGAGGTCAAGGGATGCTGTAGCAGGACGGACCTGGGTTATAGCGCAAGCATGCCAGCGAGATTAGGGCAGCTTCTCTGTTGGCTTCAGATCTGGCCATAGCAACTTGTGCAACAGTGGAGATCTGAGTCAGACCGCAGAGGACATGGGTGGGGGGCTGGATGTGAGAGTCACGACAGAAACGAGGATGTGAGTGAGACCCTCGGTGTGACTAGAAGTTTAAGGCAGCCCACCTGCTCCCTCTGTGATTACAGTCATCAACCCTGTGCAGGAAGAGAACCTGGGTTAGACAGCAGTAGGGACTGGAAGTTTGGGGCCATGTGTGGAAACTTTCACAGCAGGAAGGGTCTGGGTGACACCAAAGGGGGGACTGAAAGTTTACGGCGATTCTCTGACAGCTCCATGGCTAGAGTCATCAAACTTGTGTGGTAAGAAGGGCCTGGGTCTGACCTTGGGGGACCAGGAGGGCTGGGATCAGGCATGGAGGCTACAACAGCAAGAAGGATCTGCCGGGGATTTAGCTCAGTGGTTCTGCTGCCTGCCTTGCAAGCACAAGGTCCTGAGTTTGATCCTTGATCCAAAAAAAAAAGAAGGATCTGGATTTGACTCCACGGAAGACTGAAGGTTTTAGGGCAGCCCCCCTGCTAGCCTCTGGAAGGGGCTGGACCCACAAGTAGAGGCCTGGGGTGAGACGTGGGGCTTGGGTCAGTGAGGGCTTTGGGTCAGGTAATAGGACCAAACAGCACAGCTGGGCACCTTTCCTGCAGCAGCAGGAAAGCTCTGGACTAGACGAGAGGTCTAGTGTGAGGGATCAGGTGCGGCCTGCTAGCAGCAAGACAGCTCCAAGTCAGATCACAAGCAGAGCTGCAAGTGGGGGCTCAGATGTGGGTCCCAGTGCAGGAGAATGTGGGGCTCAGGGCCTGGACATATCTCCACCTGGTGCTGCCACCCATGTTCCTCTAGGTGCACCCACTGGAGCGCCGAAAGTACATGCTCAAGTCCTTGGATCAGATTGAGACAGTGAACTGCGGCAGGGCTGCAGGGCGGCTGAGCTTCCCAGACCATGAGGCACTGGCTGAGCTTGGTGATCTGAAGAGCATGGTGGAGCTGATCAAGCGTATGCTGACGTGGGAGTCGCATGAGCGCATCAGCCCCAGCGCAGCCCTGCGCCACCCCTTTGTGACCATGCAGCAGCTGCGCAGCACCCATGAGGGCACCTGCTACTACCAGCTGTCATTGCGGAGCTGCCGCCAGTCATTGCAGGTGGAGGGAAAGCCACCCCTATCTGCTGCAGCCTCTGCTGAAGACAGGCTACCCTACAACCGTTTGGCAGAGAAGGAAGAGGCCACCGTGGGCAGGGGTGCTGTGGAAAATGGCAGGCCCTTCTTTCGGGATGAAAAGACACCTGGCATGCAAAGGGCCATCGACCAGCTGGGGGATCTGAGCCTGCAGGAGGCTGGGTGTGGGCTGTGGGGTGAGGCCCAGGCTGACGCCATCTCCGACATGTTGACCCCACTCAAGGCAGCCACTGCTGGCTGCCAGGTCCCCAACTCAGGCCCAGAGCCCATCCTGGCCTTCTATGGTAGCTGCCTGGTAGGCTGCCACAAGACCCGCAAGCTGCCCTCGGGCTCCAAGTCTGACTCCAACTTCAGCAACCTCATCTGGCTGAGCCAGGCTTCACCAGAGGATGACGGGCCCTGCTGGGGCAGCGTCTGGGAGGAAGGAGAGTGCCAAGGGGCCTCTGCTGAGCCACCTGCCATCCCACTGCAGGAGGGCGATGGGCCCAGTATCAAGGACACAGTCATGGATGAGGAGATAAACCAGGTGGGTGGGCGGGGGTAGGTCAGGGCCTCCTCTAGAGCTCGCTCCAGCGTGGGGGCACAGATAACCAGGCCTTGCCTCCCACACATCTGCATGTCTGCAGCTGCCACAGGGTCCAAACACGACAGGGTTCAGTGAACACTAATCGGCCCTCATGAGGTGATCAGGCCCGGCACATGCAAACTCTCAGGACGGCACTAGCCATTTTAACCTGCCTTCATCTGAGCCCTGGGGGAGGTCCCATACACACTCTGGTTTCAGGAAGGCATAAACAGAAGACCAGCATGAACTTTCTTGTTGATGTCCCTCTTCTCCCCACAGAGGTCAGGCCCTGAGCTCTTCAACCCCAATTACCGACCTGGAGAATGGCTAAGTGAGGCCGACTGGACCCTGGAAGGCATCAGGGGCCTGCGGGCTCAGGGGGTCCCACCCCGCCACCTCCAACCACATGCTCCACCCCGGGGCACCAGCTTTCTGCAGCATGTCGGTGGACATCACTGATGGTGACCACACCCCTACCCATGACTGAGGGCTGCACTGCTTGGTGTGGCATCCCCTCATCCTGAACTGTTCCTTAGAGCCATCCCCCAAATCTACAAATTATTCTTATAGAAAGACAGTTATCCAGAATGTCCCCTGCCTCCAGTGCATCCCCCCCCCCCCCCCCGCCCCAGGAAACCGGAGGCCCCTGAAGTCTGACCCATGGCCCCCTTGGCAGGGTCAGCAGGAAAAGGGCTGTCCCCTGCTGGCCTGAGCTCACCCTGGTCCTGCTACCTCCTCCTGTTTCAATAAAGAACTGTTCAGCAGTCCTGCCTCTTGCCTGTCTTCACTGATTGAGGCCTGGATTGACCCAGGGGTTGGCATCAGACTGGTACCCAGGGCCTGGCTCTGCCATGCTGTATCCAGCTGGCCACTGGCTCAGGCTAGGGGTTGGGCTATGTGGCACTGGGAAAGGCTGTGCTTGGCACACTAACCCATCTCCTAAATGTGCTAAGTGCTTGGTACCTTGCAAATCCACCCCCAGGTCATTTGAATTTGCCAAATGCTGAGGTCTTACTGATCACCAGACCTTCCTAAATGTTACAGACCTGACATGCACTTGCCCTTGCCTGGGACATGCTAAGTGTACATCCACCTGGCAGGCATAAATGCATGTTAGGTGCACACTCCAAGGTTCAGACATGCTGGTCCACCCTTGGGATATGGCCATGGTCCAGTTCATGCTGGTCACCTGGAGCATGCTTAGTGTGTGGCACATGCTACCCCATGCTGGCTACACACGTGCTCAGTCTGGGCCAGCCCATGTGGTTGCACACTGCATGCTTAGCACACACCAAACCACACTGGTCACATGATGAGGGCTCAGCACACTAAGCTATCCCCACCAGAGGCCCATGCCAGCTGTTACCTACCCTACACCCCCTCTCATACCACTCAGTCAGGCACAGGCTATACAGACAATTATTTACTTATTATAATTTTGGGCCCTCTTTGCCCTGGAAAGGGGGGTGGGCCAAGGGTCTGGGCCCAGCATGCAACCCCACTTCTTTGGGGGCTGATCCCTCCCCCAGCTCTGCTAGGTCCCGGGGCCATAGCATCAGGCCGGTGGGGTGGAGGTAGAGGTGGGAGCGAAGGGGAGAGCCTGTAGAGCCACAATGGGGCAGACGGAAGCGGGGGCATAGGGACAGGGACCGGGACCCTTTCCGGGTCCATGGGGGCCTCACAGGCCTAGGCCTGTCCGCTGGATTGAGCCTCAGAGCAGCCGACAGGCGTTGCCCACACTGTCAGCAGAGGCGTCAAGGTCGTGGCTATATGGAGAGTCCCAGTCCCTCAGGAAAACCGCCTCTAGCTGGCTGCGCAGCCCACCACGCCCATTCTGCGCCACCAGCAGCGAGGTGCCTGCTGTCTCCGTGAAGTAGTTGCCAGACCAGTTGGAGGTCCCTGGGGAGGAGAGGACGGAGAATGACAGCCCCACAGGGTTGGCCAGTCTCTGGTGCCCGGACCCTCCCTTCTTCTGTCCCTTGGAACACTTACCGATGTAGGTGGCACGTTCGGTCACCATGTACTTGTTGTGGTTGACACGGGCGTATGGGATCCGGGCCTGAGCCTCATCGGCAGGGACCACAAAGAGTTTCTGCCAAAGACAGAGGGTGGTAAGTGCAAGATGCAGCTGGGGGTGTAGCTGGTTCACAGGGCAGGGGTTCCCAGTAAACGCTGACGGAAGGGAAGAGCTTGTTGCCCCTATTGCAAACTTGCTCCCTAGAATGGCTCCTATTCATCCCTGAAGTTCTCATCTTGGATGTTGCCTTTTCCAGAAAGTTGTCCTTGACTCCTCAGGCTAGGACAGGTCATTCCTTTGTGCCCTCCTATCGGTCCCCAATCTCTGCCTGAGCCTCCCTGTCCTGGCCACTTTTCCCGATCATGGCAGGACTCCCTGTGGGTCTTGTTGGCTAACACATGAGCTCCACCCGGGCTGTGTTCCCAGCACCACTTACCACCTGGATGTCGATGTGGGTGTGGTTGTCGCGCAGGGCAGCCAGGGAAAGCAGGAAGGAGCGCATGGACGGCTCCGAGTGTCCCCAGCAGCTGATCAGCAGGCGCACCTTGACACCCCGCTCATAGGCCGCCCGGCGCAGCCCGTCATCGATGGAGGGCCAGAACCTGGGGGTGAGGCGGAGTGGGTGTGCAGAAGGAGGGCGGCTGTATCCCAGGCTTTGTCCTCAGGTTTGGGGAGCCAAGCTCGGCCCCTGTGTTAACTTCTGAGAGCCCCCAAACCTCAGAAGCACCCCACTGTTGGCTCCCAGTCCCTCCTTCTGCCCCTTTAGGCCCCTCATCTCCTGTTCCTGGTTCCCTTTCCTGCCCTGCAAAACCCAATGCTCTTTTATCTGTGGCACTGGGGTTGAAACCTTCCCACTGAGCCATATCCCTAGCCTTTATTTTTTATTTTGAGACAGGAATAACTAAGATGCCCAGGCTGGCCTCAAGCTTGCAAACCTCCTACTTCAGCCTCCCAGTGTGCTGGGATGACAGGCAGGTGCCACCACACTCAGTCTTCCCAGTTCACCTGCTGACCCCACACTGCCTTCTTCAGTCAGCTCACCTAATCTCCCTCTTCTTACCTCGGATCACAAATCCAACCCTGCTTTCCCAGTCCTGTACTCCGAGTCCCCTTCTCTAAACCCTTCATCCCATTTCTATTCTGTGACCTCTACCTTCCCAAACCCCACATCCTACACCCTCTACTTTAGGTCTCTAGCTCCCCATTCCTGGCCCCAAACCCCAATTTTCTCAGCTTTTTCTTCATTACTTCCAACCTCTCCCATCTCCCCCAATGCCTGCTTCTCGTACCTCAAAACACCCAGACCCTGTCACCGCCCCATGTCTCCAAGGCTTCCCCTGTGTCTGACCCTTGCTTTGGCTTCCCTGACTGCTCTCAGAGCCCTGTTGCCCCCTCTACATGCAGGAGGCCCCTGTCCTGAGCCTGGTGTGTGCCCCGAAGTACCTGCGTGGGTGGGAGAACTCCATGGTGGGCAGGTAGTTCATGACCGCGATGTAGATGAAGCTCCGGGCGTTGTCCACCACATTGAGCAGAGCCTTCAGGTCTGGGGTGCGACCACTGGGACAGAGTGGTGGTGGTGCACTCTGGAGGGGAGGGAGCAGTCACGACAAGTCCCCTGCCAGAGGCATCGTCAGTGGACCCTGTGTTTGACAGCTCCCCAGGAGCCAGCCCCAGTGGATTTCACTGAATCCTTAGCCTCTGTGATGGGGAAGGATAATCACCATGTCCACTTTGCAGGGGACGATACAGGTTCAGAAGATAAGCAATTTGCCTAAGGCCACACTGCTGATAAATGGAGCCAGGAACTGGACCCAGGTTGATTCCAAAATTTATGCCGAGTTGTTACTGACCCAGCAGCAAGAATATGACTTGGAAACTTGTTAGAAATGCAAACGCTTTATGGCTCACTGTGAAAAGCATTCTAGAGAAGAATGCTGTGGTGGAGCCCAGGCCCGTTTGTATGTATTTATTTATTTGAGGGTTTTTTTGAGACAGGATTTTGCTATGCAGTTCAGGCTGACCTTGAACTAAGTGGTAATCTTCCTGCCTCAGTCTCCCAAATGCTGAGATTATAGGTGTGCCCCACCACACCCAGAATTTTATTTTGTTATTTTGCAGTTTTAGAGACTCAATGGAGGGCCTGTGCACTGAACTACATCCTCAGCCACTTTTTATTTTTTATTTTGAGGTGGTGTCTCCCTAAATTGCTCAGTTGCCAGGCAGGCTGAAACTTGCTATCCTCCTGCTTCAGCCTCCCAAGGCTGGGATTATTGGCTTGGCTCTGCGGTAGATCCTGAGCACTCTAGACAAGAGCTGCTGCCTGGCTACTGAGCTCTTGAAATGTAACTGATACAACCAAGGAACTGAATAGTTCACCATATTAATTTTAATTAATTTATTTAAAAATTTTTCTTTATTTTAGCTTTTTTGTTTTGTTTTGGTTTTTGGTACCGAGGATCGAACTCTGGACATTGTGCTTGCAAGGCAGGTGCAGGAACCACTGAGCTAAATCCTGGCCCCATATTTTTGCTTTTTTGAGACAAGGTCTCGCTATATAGCCCAGGCTGGCCTGGAACTTGCAGCGATCCTCCTGCCTCAGCCTCCTGAATGCTGGGATTACAGGTATGTGCCACCACGCCCAGCTAATTTTAATTAATTTAAATGGAAAGAAATGCCTGTGAACAACACTAAGGGTCTGGGATGCATGAACTGTGCTACTGGAAATATTAGGATATCTATTTTCAGATGGAAATGAGGTCTAGGGAGGGTGAGACACAGCCTAGGCTCCTGACTCAACAGGCAGGGCTGGGGGGCGCTGTGTGTATCTATGGTATAGCAGGCCCACTGCCCCCACACTCACCGCCAGGTAAGCCAGAGCGGGGGTCCCATTGAGGCAGATCTCCATAGGTGTCTCTTGATTGTAGCGGGTGTCATAAGGCCGGGGCCAGGTTGAGGGGATGGAGCTGCCCGCCTGGCCCAGGTACCAATAAGCCTCAAAGATCTTGGTGAGGTCTTGAGCCAGGCAGCTGCAGTTGTACATAACCACACCCAGCTCCTTGACCTGCAGGAGGGCCAGGCTGAGTCTGGTGCCCACAGACAACAGGGACACCCCCAGGTCAGTTTTTATCCCTTGTTCTACTTCCCTCTGTCCTTTAGTCTTTCCTCCATCCCCACTCTGAAGAGCTAGAGTCCTAGAACTTTCAACTTATGAACCCAGGGCCTCACACACGCTAGGTGATGCCCTACCACTGAGCTACCTCCCCAGCCCTTTTAATATTTTATTTGAAAACAGAGTCTTATTAAAATTGTCTAGTCTGGCTTTGAACTTTTGAATTTTCCTGCCTCAGGTTCCTGAGTAGCTGGGATTACAGTTGTGGGCCACTGTGCCTGGCTCCTGCTTATTCTTAGATCTAGACCAATATGTTCCTCCTCCAGGCAGCCTCCCCGGACTGCCCAGACTGTGCTAGGAATTCCCCTGAACTCTCACAGTACCCTTGGGTTTCCCTCTTCATTCTCTCTGCTGACAAACCCGTGTCCCTACTGGGTGGAAGGATAGGCTCCACGGATGTCTCAATCACAGCTGGATCCTCAGCGCCTCCCTGCATCAGCAGTAATTCTAGGGGTTTGGGGAAGTACTTGTTGAAATAAACTAGTGAATTAATGTCCTGCTATTTCTTAAAGTCACATCAGTGCCTCAGCTTCAGCTGTTCTCTTCCCTCTCTTGTGCCCACTCCTGCCAATCCTTTAGTATCTGATCAGTTGTTATCTCCTTCGGGAAATCTGCCCTGACACCCCAGGGTGGGTCAGATGACTCCTCTGGGCTTCCGAAGCTCACAGAGTTTCCCCATCCTATCCCTGAGCCCCTCTGGGCTGTCAGTGCCTGGTAACAGGCCAGGCTCCACAGGGCACTGGGTTTCCATGAAGTTTATCCATTACCACCACTTTCCTAGTGTCACCCAGGACAGCACTAGGTTTAGGACGGGCATTCACGGAATGAAGAGTGGAGCCCACATTGGTGGTGGGGGCCTTGAATGCCTTATGCATAGTTGGCACTACTCTGAGGATGCCCAGACTTCCGTGAGCAGGAGGAGAGCAATGGAGGGCTAGACTGGGGGATGTTTAGGATGGCTTGGTAGGGAGTGGGAAGAGAATGACTGCAGAGACGGCCAGAGAGTGGTGGGATTGGAGAGAGAAGCTG